TCCAGACTCTTTGTCAAAAGGTAACACTCTTGTAAATGATACTGCCTTTGTGGAAAAGCACAAGAAGAAAGGAGCACCACTGCAATGCTAGCAATGGCAGAAGCAGTGTCAGAATCCATTACCAGGACAAAGAATCAGAGCTATTCAGACAACACTTCCAAGGACTCACCATGACAGTTCCCTCCACAGAGGAGCAATTCGAGTCTCCTCACTACCACTCCATTGTTGGGCAGAAACTCCTTCTAGTGGACTGGAATCGATGTGGAATTACAGTTCCTTGTCCCGATGGAAGATGCTCTGGCAAACTCAATAATACAAGGACAAACTGGTCACACAACAAGACCTTGTTCCCATCTTTGGCATCACTGGTCCTCCTTCTTGGTGTATAGTCATGTCCATGGTTTGTGGAAGCTGCAACAGAAGATTCGATGCCAACTCTGCAGAAGTGCTGTCTCGATCCCAGACCATGCTTCATTGCTCTATCCAGTGGAGTCAAGTATGCTCTACCTAACAAGGCTTGTCACTTGGAGCGAACAGCAACAGAAGTATTCGATCTATCATGTTAACCTATGGAAAGGAGACCTATGCAGCCGCCTCATCTACAATGCAATCAAAGAGAGTATCTTAGAGCCATGATGTCATACTTCTTACTGGCAAGGAAGCGCCACTGATCCTGATCCCTTTCTCAAAAGGATGGCACTTACATCAGACAGTTTCCTCCTTGGTGACACCATCCGTGACATCTATGATGCTGCTTGTGCTTCAAACAGGAATCCATGGAGGATCAGTGACAACCAAAGGCACACAAGAGAGATCCAAAGTGTCAAATGCAATAAAGGAATCTTCTGCCAAGACCACACCTTCCAGGTGATCAAGAACTACAGCAGAGTCTTGGTGCTGCTGCTGTTTGGGATGCTGCTACTGACACTGGAGAGATTGCGTCTGCAGTTCTGGTTCCCACCACCAAGACCATCCACTTCTCCCATGCAGCCATGCAGCTAGCAAGGAGGAGCAACTTCAATCCAGCTGCATGTACAGCGACACTGGCCCCACAAGGATGACTATTGGGAGCTGCTCTTTCCAGGTATCGAGGGAAGACTTGGCCTGTTCCATATGAGAAAAGGATTCTGTCAACTTTGAGGAAGGGTCACATTGATTACTTTCAAGCAATGGGAGACCTCTTGGACTGCCTCTATGATACTCACCAGATGACTATGAGAAGGTCCTCCATGCTTTGAAACATGGCCTCTTGTCCCCAATGCAAGCTACTCCATGGCAGAGATCTCAGATATGCAAGCCTCCAAGGTCTTCAGAGCTAGGTACTCCAAGTATCTAAGGAAGAAGATGAGAGAACCAGAGACCATGAGACAGAAGTTGCAACAGTGTTCTGCAGATACAAGGTGACTGCCAGTGATGGTAGCCAGCCAGGACAGGGCCGACTCGATCCAGCCAAGAACTATACCTTGTTCACTTCTGATACCAAGCCAGCAGTAGAGAACTGTGTTGAAAAGCTGCTCACTTGGCTGATCCCCTGGCACTGGAAGACATGTATGACACAATCCAACCTTCTCCAAACTCCAAGCACAATCTCCAGAGTACCTATCAAGGAGAGGAGAGTCAAAGTTAGAGGCTTTCATGACAAGTTTGCCCACTTTGGCAATGGTGGAATGAGGAGGAGCCTTGCTGATGCACTCAACCTTGCTGGCACTGCTAGTACAACCTCAAGATTCGCCACAAGAGAGCCTTCCTGTCAAGAATCAGTGTGACGAAAGGAAGTCAATTCCAGCTGGATGGGAGAAGGTGGTTCCATATTGAACCATTCAGAGTTGGCTTACCTGAATGAAATGGCACAAGCTGTTGGTCTAGACAAGCCATTTCAAATGCAGAGCCCTTGCCACAGGACACTGGAGAGCGATTCTTCTCAGACTTCATTGTTGGATTCAAACCTCACAGGCAGAAGTACTCAACCAAATGATTGTTGCTTGTGTACATTGTGCACCAGTCCAGTTGAAGCTTCACAACCACAACCGGTTCCACAACCACAACCGCTTCCACAACCACAACCGGTTCACAACCACAACCGGTTCCACAACCACAACCTCCACCACCCAATCCACCACCACAAGCAGCTCCTCCTGTAGCACAAACAAGAAATCTTACATTGGTAACCTGATTCTCTATCAGCAACAACACCAGATTCAAATGATGCAACTTGCCTTAATGCAGCAGCAATTCCAACCAATACTGCCAGCTCCTTTCCAGCAACCTCACCGAATGGTTGCTGTCACAAATACTGCCATTGGTTGACACACAGGAGAGGAAGACCACCACATGATAGATCTTGCCAAGCTAGATGGAATGGATATTCTGCTGGGTAGCAACAAACAAAGATTGAGATACATAACTTTCATATCTAATTTAGCCAGTAACTTACATATCATTGCCAATGAAATCAACAACCATAGTCTCACTCTTCATCTGAGTCAATGCCAATGAAATCAACACCATAGTCTCACTCATCTCAGCCAATTCCTGGAAGGAAATATTCTTCTTGTAAATGTTCTTCTTGTAGTCATACCAGTGGCAACAATAATAATGCCAAGCATCCATCACATTCTGTCCTTCAAGGGAGGACACCTCATAGCTCTCACTGACCCTTTCCCTCACCAACCAGTAGATGCACTCAATGAAGATGTCCTTCCTTTCACAGGGATGTGGGGACGGCGACTCCAGCATTCAGAGAGGGTGGAGATGACAGCTCTGTACCATTTTGGACTTTTCTGAAGGCCTGAAGCTAACATGTAATCCATAATGCTGTCATGCAGGAGGAAGTGGCTTGCATGCTCCTTGCATATCAACTCCTCAAGAACGGTCACTTCCATGCTGGTTGTGGCCAAACAGAAGTTATCCTCCTCATCACTGTTGTACCACAAATGACATACTTGCAATTGAATCCTTGCCTTGTTACCCTCAGCTCATTGAATGGGTATCTGTTCACACTTTGCAGCCACTTGGAGAAGGCGGGAGAGTAGCTGTGATCCTCATGGTCGAGATGTTGTTGTTGTTCTTGTTGTTTCGATTTTCGTGGTGCGTCGGTTGTCGATCGATTTCTTGTTACGAGCGACACGAAGGGTTGAGAACGATCGAACGACTCTTCAGCCATAGTAACAACAGTAGCAGCAGACAAGATAATAGTGTTAGCAATCATTAGCTATCGCAAACAACAACCGCCATTGTCCCTTATTGTCGGAAAGCAAAAAGTAACAACAGCATTCTTACCTTCTATCGGTAGTCGGTCCGTAGTGATATCGGTGGAGTCGGTAGAGGAAGGAGGAAGTAGTACTAGTAGTAGTAGTTGTTGTTGTTGCCAAGTGTCTTGCCCCTACCCACGTAGTCGCTGACTTCAAGACAAACTAAGTGCGTCAACCAACTGTCGAGTTGTTGTTGTTGTTGTTTGGTGTAGGACGTTGCTGTTGCTGTTGCTGTGTGTTGCCTTTTTCAAATAAATGGGAAGGTCTGGTGCGAGCGAAGGATTGGGAAAAAGAGCGAAAAAGAGCCAGTCAGCCTATCCGTTACGTGGGATTTGAATTTGCCATCATGCATGTGTTTGTGACGCATTTGCTGACATATTCAACGTTCTTCGGACGTCTTACCTATGGGGATATCAACGGTCATTGCCTTTTCCCCTCTTTTTTATAAGTAAACATGGCTTCCGATGTCTCCCACCTAACCTCCTCGCTCTCTCGGATGTCTTCAACATGACCTGGCAGGCTCTCAAACGGGAATCAGGAATCCAAAGGTTAACCCTCTCCCTCTTCTTCTTCTTTTTCCCTCCCCCGCGCTCATGCCTAACCCCCCCATAAAGTCGTGAGTAGAACATCCAAGCAATCAGGCATGCGCTGCCAACCAGCAATTGCCCTGACGAGAGGCTCTGTTGGGAACTTAAGAGTGGTCGGATCGAAATCCTCCGAGTACCGTCCGTTGTCGTCCGGAGCGTTGAAACGGAAACAAGCGATCTAAGTTTGTCGCACCTGTAGGAGATGTACTGCGCTTTACGGTGCGATAGATTTAGAAATGGAGTATTTCTCATTCTTGTTTTACATTTTACTTAATGATTTACACACCACGAGAAAGCCCTTTAAATTCTGAGAAGAACGGCATTAACTCCTTATTTTGGACGAAACGGACGACAGAATGGCGTTCGGAGGATTTCGATCCGACCGCTCTTACTTGTACACTTACCAAGGTTGCCACTTCCGAAAGCGATCGCATTCATTCGATGGATAAATCACTAAATCACAGCTGGTTGGCGCAGTCCCCATGTCCCCATGCAGGCAAAAATCCTAAACGGTTGCCGAAACAGCAACTGAAATCCTGATCAACTTGAAGACAATAAGATGCTTCCAGCGAGCTTCGAGTATATTGAATTGAAGGCAATGACAACGCCTCAAGCCTTTGCATACCACGCAACACAGTCAAAAGTCGGCACAGGCATACGCCTTCGCTCGTTTCCTCAGGGAATCAATCTCTGGCTGCATCAGAGCTCTCTGGGAGTATTCCTTCTACTTTGGCCCGATGACAAACTTGACAGCTTTTGTACTTGATGCTGAGAACCAGTTGTGAAATCCCCTGCCAGTCGAGATTGGGTTCTTGTTGCAGCTAGCATCCTGGTACTAGACTAGTACTGAGTTGCAACAAGATTGATGGTACCAGTCCGACTGTTTTGACTCATTTCCGAGATCCTACCTAGCTATAGCTGACTGCAATGCAATGATGTTAATAAGCCCTGGCCACATCCCCACATCCCCACATGACAGTTCTTGGGCGCATGACAGGTAAAAAGTTGATGATGTACATGTTGTGGTTACCAGGTTCAACTTTTGGGAACAGCATTGCTGATTGCCTTAGCATAATCTACACAGTATCAAAGTCTTTCATTGCTTTCCAGAGAAACTGAAAAGAAGGAACGCAACCTACCGGTAGGACATGCAGATTTAGGACTATGGTGTGATTTCCACGGCCGCAGTACCGTTCAATGCAACTGGAATCGCCTGTTCCTTTTGCATTGGATCATCATTCCCGGACAACGTCAGTAGTTTCCTTGCCGTTTTCTCTTCCAGAACGGCGACCAAGCAATAGTTCCAAAAGGCACGGGGTGCCACGAGTAGCAGCTGGAGGACACTAATGAGTACAAAACTTCCATAGGTGACAAGTTCGGCTGTCAAATGGTCTGGATCACCGACCGTCGCCCCGGACAGGAGAGCATCAAAATCACGAGGTACAACTTGAGTACCGAAAAAGACAATGTGAGTCAGACACAACCAAGTTTGATACTTGATGGAGTTTTGGTAGAGTTTCAGACCCGCGCCTCCGGCGGCCCCAAACACTTCGTCAAAAGCATTTTTGGCTGGTTTCGCCCAGATGTTTTCAATGGGTCGCACCCATGCGGGTGAGGAATCAAACTCTCGCATCTTGGATTCGGATTCCACCAGCGGGGGAAGGATGGTGGCTGCACCAGTGCTCTTGTCGATCCCTAATTTTGGATGTACCATGTACTGCATGGGACATAAACACATCAGCATGCGCTCAGATTCAATCACGAAAATCAAGACTACCTGAAAGCATACCTTGATTTGTGTCAATTTCCAGCAGTTCCAAAAGCCCCAAATCATGGACGCAGCGACCGTCACTGCCGAAGGAATGATAGCTGTAGGGGTGGAAAAGAAGAAACCGACAGACTCTGCCGCATTGGGAGACGCTGAGTTGACAACTTCGTGGGACAGATCAATTGCATTGGCGAGAGCCAGACCAGGGATAATGTAGATCCAAGTCAACGGTGATAGTTCCACCAACTTGTACAAATTTTCTGCAAAGGATGCTTGTATCACTTGTTCCACTCGAAAGGTGTTGGGTAATCGTGGGAAGATTCTCATGATTTGATGCCTCAAGAGCAAGGTTCTTCCAGCGCGTTCTTCCTTGTCCATGAAGATTTCTTGCCACAAATTGTTGGCGCCGTAGATTGCTTCGATGTCATTGTTGTCGTCTTTCTTGGGCAACAAGGGCATGTATCGGACCAACTTTTCTGGCGTAATGTTGCATGCTTCCGTCTCTGGGTCCTGCTCGAGACCTTCTACTTGTTTGATTTCGTCCAACTTTTTGACACCCACAGCCGCCATGGCTCCCACTGCCATGAAGAATCCCACGCCCACCTGGAAGAATGCCGAATGCAAGAATTCAAAGTTTTCCACGAGTATTTCGGATTCACCAAAGAGAGTAATCGACAGCCCTTCCAATCCTTCCTTCACATTGGAGTTTCCCAATACCGTTCCAAAGATGAGCCCGATGAATCCGAGCCCGCCAATTTCTGCCAGGATGGATTCCACAACGGGTAGGAGTGTCTTGGGGACGGTTTCTCTCACCCATTCCACGGATTCTTCCCATATGTAGAGCAGACCGACAATGGTCAACATGATCAAGGAGGAGCCAATAGCAGGTGTTGCAGCCAGCAACCCTTCGGAATGTGAGACCACAATTGAGGTGGCATCAACAATTAGATCATTGGAAACGTCAGAGGATACTGAGAGCTGCAACATCCCAAGAGTGTTCGCTTGCTGTAAAGGTGGTGCTTGGTTGGTGGAAATGCGTGACATTGGCTGAAAGGAGAACGACAAAGGGATTGCCCAGAGCAGCAGGAGCATCAATGCTCGAGGCATGCTGCTCGTGTTCAGAGACTTCATTGTGGCTTGTATTATCTGCAATCTCCGAAATTGTGGACCCCTTGTAGGGACACACTTGTCTTCCATAAAGATTGAGGATGTTCGAAGAACCAAAGCTTCGGACTTCGGCGTTGTCCGCATTGTCCGCAAACGTCAGTGTCGCGTGTGGAAAAGTCGGTACTGGTACAGTATCCATGACTGAGACTTCAATCCGGTTGGCTCAAAAAACTAAAATATTATTATAAGTGGTAAAGATCGCCAAAGTGCATCCAACATCCGAGCAAATCGAGCATTCAACGCCACAACTCATCAGCCAGTCCAGGTCCCTTTCTCAACCCATCTTTCGTTCAGTCCGCCTTATTATAGCAAGACGAATTGAATTTCATCGAGAGGCTATTGCTAATCAGTTTCTTCCTTACTGTTGGTGCCTTGATCGACGTCTCGTTTTACGTAGTAATTTCGGTTTCTTTCAGTTCTTCCATTGAGATCTGAACATAACTTCTACTTGCAGAAAATCCAAACTAAGCCTCCGAAAAGCATGAATCGCGCTGAATGCGATCCTGTCGATGAAATCCAAGACGAAGAGTTCAAGTGGCGTGGAGATCCAGCAGAAACATTCAGCGATTGGACCATTGAAATTGTAGCCAAAAAGGTGGCACAAGGCTCGTCACCCTCGTCGATTCTCGCTGCCGATGATCCACCAGACAAAGATGACGATGACTCGCTGTTGTTTCCAGTAGAGACGTATCATGTACATAAATGCAACCTGGCGTATGGAAAACGAAAGTCGGAATATTTCGCCAACCTGTTTCGCAGTGGCAAGAAATTTCAAGAATCCAAGTCTTCCACGAGCCGCATCGCACTCGATCCGCTCGCGGCACAAGCATTCCCACGTCTCTTGAACTTTGTCTACACCGAACGACCATTGGAAGTCGACACCCACTCGGCCACGGCCTTGTATTTTCTCGGAGAGTATTTTGGAATACGAACTCTCTGTCAACATTCCAAACAATTCTTTGAACAAGACATTTCACTCGACAATCTGGACACGTACTACGAACACTCCATCGTCTTTCAAAATGAAACCATTCAGACCGTCTTGGCCAGGTTCATGGGAAACAACATTTTGGAAATTCCACCCACGGCTCCCATTGTTCTGGATGCCAATCCATCCTTGTGGGCCAATGTCGTGCGCAACTTTCATCACTTGACAGACGAAGGTAGCAAACTGCACCTCAGCAAACTCGTGGCCGCAAATGGAACCAGTCACCTGGACGAGTTGGACATGCGGACATTGATGGATCTGACGGATGAACGAAAACTGCCACAAGTGCACCCGAGTGTGGCATTGCAATTGTGTGAACTGGAAGATCGATTGTGCCAAAACCAAAAAATGCCGGCTACGAGTTCTTCCCAGTCGGATCTGTCGTCCATCCAACGACGTTGTTCCGTGGCCTTGTCGGAGACATGGGGAGAAATTGAAATTGACAATACAACCACAGCAGTCACGTCCTTGTTGCAAAATCGAAAGTCCGTCTTTTTGGTCGATTTACTGATTCGATGCCTGTGCAAGGCGAAAGACGACATTCGAAAGGTCCGCAATGAAATGAACCGAATACATTCCTTCATCAAAAATCTAAAACCCCTCCCAGAGTCACGATTGCATGAAGTGCAATACGAGTTTACGGTCGCGCTGCCCGACGAGTTTGTCGAACACAATCCAGAAACACACTTTGCGTCAACCTACGTCCAACCGGCGCCCTACTCGTCCAAGAAATATCCACTCTTTTACTATGTGGAAATATAGTCCACACATTGTTGTAGATGCGACTCGATTCGATTCATTATTATTTCGAGGCAAATGCACTTTGGAACAATCAACTCCAGTCGGTTGCATTGAATCATTCCACCCAGACGCGACTTCAGGCGCATCCAGGGGGCTGCAAGGGCTGCGCCTGTCAATTTACTTGCATACACCAGAAGGCGCCGGTCAGTCCCCCGCATTTTACAACTTGCATGCTCATGCGTCACCACTGGGGCATGTCCCAACGATACCATGCGTTCCCGGCAGCGTCCCCACGTCAATTCTGAAACTACTAAACATTGATGAGGACAATAGTGAACCGCTCGCCAAGAGCTGTTGATACACATGTAGACCGAATGCTGAAGATAGCTGCTTTATAGAAACAATAGACTGGCCGCCACTGTAGCTAGCTAGGGCTACTAGACTACAGTTAGCTGAAGGGGTGGATCCGTTTTGGGACTGTGTGGACCGTACTGGTACCGGTACTGACACCTGTTGTCGCCTTTTTGTCCGCAAGTGGAGGTTCTTCTCCTCCGCTCTCGGAGCTTCACAACCTCACTGGCTTGAACAGCTCTGCGCTGAGGAGCTTCTGAGGCCTCTAAAAAAGGCGGACCAAGAACCAGGCTTATGTGTCGAGTCGCCTGTTTGTTCTGAGGTGTTAAACGGGAGAACTTTGTTACATTTCCAGTGTAATTCTCCGTTTGTTATCCGTTCCACTCAAGGAAGCCACTTTAGAAAGGATCTTATTACTTATGTGAACGAGAGGCTCTTACGAGCACTGAGAGTATTTGATTGGCCCTGCATAAATAGGTTTGGCGGTTTGGCACGTTCACATTGCGGACATCATGTTCTTTCCATTTCCAGTGGTACAAATTGTCGCCAATCAGTAGCGCGTAGCGGTGTTCCGCTACTGAAAAGCGGCAGCTGGCTAGCTGGCTTCCAGTACCGGTACCGTAGACTAGCTAGCGCTCTGGAGCTCTACAACTCCAACAGCTCTCCAACATCCGTGCACTACATGTACAGTTACTGGCTGGGTACGGTACTAGCCAGCTACAGCCAGAGTGCCAGTTGTTCTCATCAGAGGCACTTGGTAATACCGGTTCGTGTTGCTGTGTTGTTCACGTAGCTAGAGTACTACTGTTAAGTAACTCCGGTCTGAACGAGTATCATATTCCTTATAGTCCGAACCAAGATCCGAGCGCAGAAAATATTACACTCCGAACGTTTTAATAAGATTATCGTCTTCTATGAGCTTTTTATTCCACAGTAGGGTACTTGACCTTGGACAACACCCCCGGTAACGGTACCTTACCAAGGTACCTGGGTTATTTCAGAGGTGTTGCCCCTTTTTACTATCCCACAACAAAGGCAAAGCTTCCACCTCCCACTGCTGGCATACTGAGCCAGTATATCTCAGCATGATATACACTAGCTAGTAGCTTGTCAAATTGTCTGCTTCCTTCCAAGTTTTGAGAGATGAACTGAGAGGAAAAGCAAACCTGACCTCTTCGATGGAAAAAGGTGCAAAATTTGGAGTTCTATGAATCATAGTGGTACGAGATTTCTCTTACAGTAGTACTAGTACCAAGTACCGTAGTCTTGGCATATTCAACACTTGCAGTTTTTCTTCCGGGTACCGTACCGGTAGTCCTGAGTCCAGCAAAGTATGCCATAGTGTAGTCTACGGTACCATGGTGCCTGGTACACGTACGGTCTGTCATCTCTCTTGGATTGGTTTCTCTAGTATATTATTCTTATTACCAAGTTAATAGTAAAATCATTTTTCTGACGTTCCCTCCGGAGGACACGAACTCCCAGGGAGACAGGGAGACGAGAGCATGTTCTTCAATTGTTCCTCCACCTCTTTTATTACGAGCGCAAAAGGTCCCGGTATTGGAATAGCCTTTGGCGATTCGATTCACTTGTTAGTAGCTAGCTAGCAGTACGGTATGTACTGGTAGTATCTCATGTCTCAAGTGACAGGGTGTGTGCACGGTGCACAGGGATACCGCATCGTAGATTGAGTGTTGCTCGCGTGCCAGCAAAAGTAAGTTTCATTTTGGCTGCTTTGTCTAGACTACTGCAGTCCGCACAGTCGGTGGTAGAATCATTTCACGCGACAATACAACTATACTAGCTAGTACCTGCAGCACCCAAGGAAAAGAATCATCATTCACAATGAAGATGGAAATTGAGCTGCGTGAAGAGCGTCTCGCCGACTACTCGAAGCAGCGTGCGGATGGGACCGTTAGTCCCAACAGCAGTGCGAGGCTGAACCTAGACGATTCCAGCCGGAACCCCAAGCTGCCCAAGCAGCCCAAGAAGGAACAAAATGCCCCTGTCGACTTGTCGCCCAGTCGAAAGCTCAATAATGCCATTTCGGCTACGGAGTTCTTGCTGAGTCTCCCCTTGGAAGGGGATGGCAACAAGATGGACGATGACTGTGACGACAACAGTTCTGTTTCCTCTTTGGGCAGTAGCTTTCTCTTGACGGAAGAAGACATTGTCATTGAGGTATCGGAGAACTTGTCTTGCTCAGAGCGCCTTCGTCTGTCCATGAGGTCTCTTTCCAAGCAAAACAGTAGCAAGGATCTTAAGTTCTCGTCCAGTTTCAGGTCGATGGCCTCTTCGGGGAATAACTCCATGAAAAGGAGACCATCACTGTCTCGCTCCAAGACGGCTGATTCTGTCGTGACTAACGGTAGTCAACGATCACTGACGTCCTTGTTTCGAGATGGAGACGACCATGACGGGGCAGAGAGCAGTACGGGACATCACTCCAGGGGTAGCATCAATTTTCCTTTGAGAAGGACATTGAGCAACGGAAAACGCTTTGAAAGGACACCATCACAACGATCCTTGGGTAGCACAGATCGATTACGCCTGTCGTTGAACCGGCAGATGCTTTCCAAAGATGAAGCGGCTGCTGCCAGGGCCACCATGGATGATTCTCAGCTATCAATGAGCGCATCTGAAGTCAATCATGTGCCGCCCCGTCGGACACTCTCGGCGGGGAACTTGCGGTGTGCTTCCAACCAACGAGCTGCAACGCGATCTGCGCATTCCAACCATGCAATGCGTCAGAATGCCAGACACATAGCAGGCCAAGACGACATCAGTGTCAAATCGCGAAATAGCAAAGGCAACAACTCGGCCAAAAGTTGTAGTTCCCTGTCCTCTAGATCAACGAAGAAGGAGGTCAATCAAAGAAAGGCACGCCGTCGACGGTCGATAAGTCGGATAGACGGCTCAGCTACCTCTCGACGTTCCAACACAGCTATATCTCCGTCTCGGCGTTCTCCAAACCGGTCCCCGCGACGGAGCACAAGCAATCTCGTGGACAGCATCCCTCTTCATGTGCAGGCCAGGCGCCGAATATCTCAGGCTGAGATTGATGCCATACATAGAAACTTACTGGCTTCTCTTGCCAAGCCAAACCTCTCTCGTTCCGTGTCCCTGGAATCACCCCTGAAGAGGTGCCTCGCTGCACCCCAGGGGTGCCTTAAGAAAGGTTCGCACTACGGGGACTCAGTCATGTCGGAAAACAGTCTCATGGATGACAGCTTTTGGTCGATGATGTCTACAGAAGATAAAGAGCAACAAGCATGTCGTCGTCGCTCGAGCTCTCAGTCGCTTCGCACCTTGGATTTGGCAGTTCAGCCAACAGCCCGACAAAGTCATCCAGCAGCAAACAAGCCGATGCGACGTTCCAACAGCAACTTGGATCGTGTTCTCTCAGGCACGGGCAGCTTTCTGGACGCCTCCAACGCCGCGTTGCTACAGCAGTCGATGGAGAAGCCGTCAGTGGGGGCTGCTCGGAAGATGTTGGGACAACCCATGGTTAGTACCGATACGCTGAATGCCCCGAACAGCAGCTTACACAGTCAATCCAAGCCAAGGTCTCGAAGAAGGGTTTCCAGGAAGGAGAGGCTGTCAGTCAAGTCGCAACTGGAATCTTCCAATTCAGCGTTGCACTCGTCCGCATCCGAGCTACTGCGCAGGAGCGAGCCGCAGAAGCCCAAGGTCAAGAGGAAGCTCTCGGGATCAAACTCAAAGCTGGCACTCCTGGCATCCATGTCGCGATCAGAGTCAAAAGGCTCCTTGGCGGAAGCTGCTGAAACCGGCGACAGCGGCCAACCTGGCCTCCGGCGAGTGACGACTGCGGGTTCTTTGACAAAATTGCCGGGATTTCGCAGAACCGACACTGAAAATTCTATCCAAAAGTTCAAGGCCAATTCGCGCTCACTACGCAGCAGCGTCAAGGGGTCCCTGGGAAGAAGTGGGTCGGGCCCTGACTTGCTGGCAAAAGCAGGGTTGGGAAGAAGTGGTTCTGCGACTGACATCCTCGCAAAGGCTGGGCTCGGCAAGAAGATGAAGCCTTCGAATAGTATGGTCATGATGCCCGGAGTCGGACTTGCGTGCCTTCAGGATAAGACGGAAGAAGAAAAGACCAAAGAACCACAGCACTGCCACAACGCAAATTGGGCGTCGGGACCCAGGACAAGACCTTCAGTTTCAAATCCATTCCTGTCTGTCGTGCAAGGAACACCAATCAAAAGTTCAACCCAACCACCAACTCCACCACAAACTCCGCCCCAGGGTTCCAAGCCTACTATAATGTCCGTAAAGTCGTTGTCGCAGGCAAATAGGAGAGGCCGTGGTCCAAACAGATCAAAGTCTGGTCCTCCCTTGAGACGTGAGATTGGCCTGTTGACAGATGGTGCTCCAAAGAACGAATCCAAGAGTGGTTTGCGCCGCAAGATCACCATACCTAGTGGGATTGGCGAAAAGAATCGATCTGCTAATGACATCTTGGCTTTGGCTGGTCTGGGGAAGAAGAAGCCCTCGAACAGCCTTGTAATGATGCCTGGAGTTGGGCAGATATGCTTGCAAGGGAGAGGAGGATCTTCGAGTGTGCTTAGGGCTGTCGAAACCGATCCCGAGGGAGGAGAAGCCGTGACAAATCACCAATGGAATGTACAGTCACAACGTCGAAAACCAACAGAAAACCCGTTCCTAGCCTTTGTCAATTCTGAGGGCAGACCAACCCCCCAGCAGAGATCTCCCAAAATTTCCCCGCAGCGGCCAAAGCCAACAAAAGTCAAACCTTTGTGCGATGGCAGTGAGCGCAGCAACGGGTCAAGACGGAGCAAACGTGTGGGTGGTAGACCAAAGTTGTCTCGGAAAAAGTCTGATAAAGACTTAGTGAAGCATCTCAATGATTCCAACCCGTCGCGAGCTTTGGTATTAGATGACCTCAAACGGCTCAAATCCCAGGGGAGAAGCATAGTGAGGTCCACCCGAAACGTGAAGAAGTCTTCTTTTGATATGGATGGATCTGAACATCATTTCGTGACTGGTAAGTCCATAAAATACACAGGAACTGTTTTCCATTTCGCAAGCAAATTCGACCCTCATCCTCGCGGTCTTCAATTCGTCCTCGTGGGTAGGTTCTCGAATTCGAAGGTACAGCACCTTACAAGACTTTGAGCAGCAACATCCGTTGGTCAGATGAAAAGAAACAGTGCATTTACCAAGACCACGCAAGAGGGGCAGTTACAAGGAACTTGGCACAATGCTGTTATAGGAATGCTCTTACTAAAAGAGTAACTACTAGACTTATTTGGTTTCGTATCGTCGTAGTAAGTTGATTGTTCATCTTTCGGGCGTGCTTGAACCGAGTGGACTCGGATGAAATTGAGCTCGAACCAAACCATCAAGCAAGGAGACAAAGAAAGATTCTCAAATGAGTGCCTCGACCGCAGTGTGTTCATTCATCTCATCTTCAGGAGGATTCTTCTTTTCCGCAGTATTCTCGTTTGTCTCAGGATTTTCTTTGCCAGTAATGCCAAGGTTGCCGAGTTCCACCGATTCGATGCTTTGCGCAGTGTTGGCTGTGTCGTCACTACCAGAACTGCGCAGACAACACCAAAAACTGCTCACACCACCGGAAGATGGAGACGAAGGGGCTTTATCCTCAAGCTTTTGGTAGGCCTCTTCGTCGGGCTCCGGTTCGACAACCCTGGAGCTACCACCTCCAAGGCAACCCAGGGCCCGGCAAAAGATCTCAATGAACGACACGGCATAGGTCAGCGAGAGCACAATTGTGTAGGAAACCACATAGACGGGGAACGCATTGCCATAGAACTGCATGAGGATAATCATCAAAAGGGCAACTGCCGAATTGAAGCCGACAAGGATTTGGGATACCTTCCGCCCAGCAGCTTCCCGCTTCAGGGCGTTTTCGGTCTCGTCAAGGGACTTGCGTGAGCGGTTCCCCCAAGACAGGTCGGAAAGGCGTGTAGTGGCGTATGCAGGTAGCCAAATGGTGTGGGTAATCATGAGAGGGAGCGCAAAGGGTGCAGAGAGGATCATAGCCCACAATCCGGAGAAATTGCACTTTGCAATACCATCCAGCAATCCAGCCGCAAAGGGTAAGAAGCAGAAAGCAATCAGCATCTGCACTGCAAGGGGAGTTTCCCAGCCCAAAATCACCATCATTCCTATCGCATTGACAACGTAGAGAAGAGTCACAATAAGGTTGACCCAAAGGACAAGGTGGAACAAAATGGGTCGGTAGGCAGAACCAGAATCGTTCTTCCAGCGAGTCGGCTCAGTGTAACGCACAATGCCAATTTCATCGTTGATCGGCTTGGCCCTGGGTGTGTGGCCAAGAATGAAGAGGACATAGAGCAGCCAATAGGCAAGGCCAAAGGCGATGCCATCTCGGAGGCGGCCTGGTTGCACTTCAACCTCGGCGAGACTGATGGTTGGGTCAAAGATCTTCTCTGGATCATGCAGCAAGTCGGGAGCAAACAGGCCAAACCTAAACATCCACACGATCAACAGTGCGGGGCCAAAGAGACGCACAACCATCCCTTGAATGACTCCCAACACCACCAAGAACCAACTGAGGGCCTTTGCTATGGGATCCTGGTTGCTGTTTGTGATGATTCCTTCTTGTAAAATCCACAAGTATGTGGCAAAGGTACCATTCAGCCAACGGCGTCGTTGTTTGACCAATTGACTCAATGGCTTCTCAGCTTCCATGTAGAAGACTTCATCTACAAGTCCGGTCCGCCCGAATCCCTGTCACAAAGACAGAATGCATGGAAAACATTGAATGTGAGACAAACCAACTATCGCGGCAGCCGTAGCAGTTCAGCAGATTGAACAATGGCCACTTACTTCCAATGGCATCACGTCGAGATCCTTGCTGCTCTTTTTGGGAGGAAATGCCAATAGAGTCCCAGGGATTCGGTCTTCTACCAACTCGACGTTGCCCAAGATGAGGCCTTTGTTGGACCTTGAAAAAAGCTGAAAGTACTGACACATCAACCCTTCTGTGAGGCTGCCAAGCTTGTTGTATCGGTAGAGTCCACACGGTCCTGGGATGACGTGCATGGCGCCGAGTGAATTGTATACACTCATGAACGAAACATTATCCACCTTTTAGGAAGGGGGAGAATTGTGAATGAGATCCAACCCAAATTTAGAGAATGCATCGAATCATTGAACGATCATGTGCATGCACGGGGTGGCTTGTGGCTTACCTCGAATTCAAAGCGCTGAAGCTGCCGAAGAAGAAAGTGAAAGGGGCGGTAACAAAGTTCATAGTCGCCGTCTCCTTGAATGCTAGCGGGCATCGTACGTTGGGTTCCAGTAACAGCATGAAGAGCACGGTCATCGTCAAGGCGCTCAATGAGACGAGCCGCCGTTGTGCGTTCAAAGTAAGTCCCGCAGTCCGTCGCGAGTGCGTACTTGCATCGAATGGTAGAAGCGTGAGGACCCAACCACCACTGTTGAGAATTGGCCTTGCGACGATTCTCTCGCTTGACGACGAGGGAAAAGCCACCAGCAACGGTTCCTTCCATTACGGGTCGTCGTGTTTGGGCTGCCGCTTGATCAAACGGATGGACAATGATGGTGTTTGCATCCGGGAAGACTCCAAAGGGATTCACAGTGGGGTCCTCGGAACCAAAGTCAACTCCGAATAGCGTGCACAAGTAGGCCGCCATGGATTCCGACATGGCATACATTCCGTCCATCACAATCACGGCTTCAACTCTCCATCCTTCGGGCATGATCTGTCGTGAGAGACCTCGAATCGTGCGCTCCAACTCCTTTCCTTCCTCGTTGTAGCAGGGGATGATACAGGAAACGACCTTGTCCTCGTTGGTTCGAGCCATGCCATTCTCGGGTGCCGCCTCGTCCCATTTGAGACCAGGAAAGTAGTCATAGTCGGGTTTGGGCACACGAGAGGAAACTCCGGTGACACTCCACATGGTCTTGTCGTATTCAATCTCGTAGGATCCCACGTCGACAGGGAAATCCTCCTCATGCACTCCGCCATCGTTGTGAGACGTATCCAATGTCGCCATGATCACGTTCATTTGTTGGGATTGTTGCTGCATCATGCTCTGCACCTGCTTATTTTGCGCCGACATTTGACGCTCCATCTTGGTCACTGCGCGACACAACAACAGACAGACAGCCAGCGTGAGGTTTCGATTCGATTCATCCCTGGCATACACTGCAAAAGGCATCTCCAAATGACAACGATTACGCGTGTGAAGAACTTACTGGCACCACGCATCTCTTCCAACTGCGCCGTCGCCTCGGACGACAACAAACTTTCTCCATGCGACGCCACTTCATGGTTGTTGTTGTTGTATGCTGCGTGATCGACTCGAATGCGTCCAGGAACGCGCTTGGACTTGTTGCTTCGGGGCCACAACTTCACCATTGTCTCTTCTCTCGTACCACCGGTAGGTAGCGTTTACTTTCGTGGTGTTTGCTTGTCAACCTTCGCCTCTGGTGTTTTGTGAGAGGTGGAAGCAGCGTTTGTTTGTTTTTGGTGCGAAATTCAAAAAACGATGTGGGAATCGAGCGTTAAATCAGTCTTCTGCTAAAACCCCCCTTTCAGTCAATCCTCTGAAGATCTAATACAGCGTACCGGTAGAAGCTGGCTACTTGGCAGCGCGTGGAAACCCCCGGGATACAGAGTACGGTACCGGTAGTGAAATACCCGGAAGGGGCTCATACGTCAGATCAAATTGTGATGCAGCTAGCTAGCTAGGCCGCACCGTAGTATGATACCGGCCGGTACGGGTTCCAGCTATGTTTTTTAGTCAGTGGCTGCTGTATGGTAGTACGGCATGTCGTGGTACACACAAGGCAGGTTCCCAGGCCAAACTCGGAGGTCTTTCTTCTTTCCTCCTCTCGCCTGATTGGATTCCATTTTTGGATCCATGAGTCTTCCAATTGCTTTCTTTGCAAGGTTTCGCAAGCCTTGGGTACGGCAAGGTACGGGACGGGGACCCTTGGACACTCACAAATTCGAAGTTCATCCATGGTGTGGGCCGAAGATCATTGGCCGGAAAAGACGAAAACACTCCGGTTCTCGAGTGTTGGCTTTCTAGTAGAGATGGCTAGATGGCGGTGTTGATTGAACGGCGGTACGGTACAGCGTAGATCGTCACCGGCAACCTTTCAGATAGATCATCTACCGTTCTCTCTGGTCCCGTTGTCCTCGGTTGGCTCCATCCATGTAGTCGGCCGGATATAAGCCAGTTCGTCTGTTATATGAATGTTATTGGGGCTCAGAACCACAGAAGCAAATCGAACTTTCTCGCTTACGATTGCTGTTCCCACTTCAAGTGGCAAATTCGAAGATCTACCAATCATCACCAATCACCAATCGCCACCACCAGGTGCTCACCTTTCACCATTCCGAGCTCTAGCTTTTTGTTGTTTGACCCATCATCATCAGGAAAGAGATCTGTGCCAGGGTCCATCCATTGCGCTCAATAATATATCCACCTTTGTGATTGAATTATCAAGTAGAAAAGATCAAGAGACGTTGATCTAGCTAGGTGCTCCAGAGAGTTGCAGTGCAAAAGATAAAGGATCCTTTTAGCCTTTTGATATCGCTGATACCCTTGGATACCTACTGTTTCATACCAAAGAACAATTGTGAAAGGTACCATGTGGCCATCACAAAAAATCCTCAGACAGCGCCATGAGAGAATATCCCTCTTGGCGTTGTTACATGTATTATTGGTGGTGTTCCTGTCAGTGGTTTCCGTGGAATCTTTTATCTTTCCTGCTGTCCCCTCGTCCGGACGGCAATACATGGATACCACCACAGCTACCATCACCACCACACAACTCGCCAGCACCCCCGAAGGTCGACCTGATATGGATGTCGTTTTTGGATCGGCACAAGCTTCCAAGAGCGCTAATGGACTTTACGAAGATGACGTGGACGACGATCAATTGGAACGAATGCAACGCCAGGCCAAAGTTCAAGCCCTATTAGAAGAACAAGACGTGGAATTCAAAGCCGCACGCAAACGCAAACAATGGGGAAAATTCGCCAACATTACCAACAAGGAAGAATTAGAACCGCTTCTGCAGCAAGAGCGAAAAAAGTTGGAGCAAGGTACGTACAGTATACACGTTGGAGTGGTGTGGTTGTGCGTGGAGAAGTTTATTTTCTGTGTGCTCAATACTGGGCCAAAAATATTTATACATTAATGAATGAAAATGAATGAGTAGAAAACAAAGTCAAGCTGGATGTGGCTGCTGCCACTGGTGTCACCATGGAAGTGCTGGATCCCATTGACAACATGATTGACACCACTGTCTACGATGAAGGTGGAACCATTCAAATCAGAAGCGGGAGTCAGCCACTCAACGCGAGATGGTATGCCGAAGTCGATGAAGAATTGAAGCAGGAATGGGATTCCTTGGTGGGAAATGACGACAGCGAGGCGGGTGAAATGGAGGATGTCAAAGTCCAGCTCAACAATGGAAAGGTTGTCAGTAGAGAAACCATGCAAGGTGTCAGAGTTGGTAGTGCCGGGGGGTGGTCTCTCGAAGTCTTTCCCGGTGATTTTGTGGTCCACCGGTGCGTACCTTCTTGCTTTTATCGTTGCTTTTTACTGTTTCTACAATAAACACTTGCTGTTAATTGATCAGTGGGCTCATCCATCTATCTTCGATTTCCCCTACCGTGCACCTACCATGTGACTGACTGACTGACTGACTGACTGACTGCAATACACTACAGAAAGTATGGCATTGGACGATTTGAAAAGACGTGCCTTCGACCCAAATCAAAATTAACCGAGGCTGAGATTAAAGCACGGGATGCCCGTCGTGTAGAAATACTCACACAAGAACTGAGAAAGCGAGGCAAAGGAAAAGGCGGCACCACAACAGATGTCATTCAAGGAATCAGGGCAACATTTGGTACCGAAGCAGACACTGATCCCATTTCCAATCCACAAACCACAGTATTGGAGATTTCCTATTCCGATGCTGTGGTCCATGTACCCGTTGACAGGGCATACCGATTGAGTCGTTATCGGTCTGGAGACTCTGTCGTCAAACCAAGACTTAGTCGAGCTCGAGGAGAAGCATGGAGTAGAGCCAAGGCCCGTGTGGAGGAAAATACTCTAGAATTAGCACAGGATGTGCTTGCCTTGTACGCGACACGGGAAACCTTGCAACGGCAGCCCTTGGATCCTACCAAAGAGGAGGTAGTCAAACGGTTTGAAACGACATTTGCCTACACACCGACGCCTGATCAACAAAAATGCTTTGAGGATGTGGAAAATGATATGGTATGGCGGCCCCGTCCCATGGATCGTTTGGTGTGTGGAGATGTCGGCTTTGGAAAGACAGAGGTGGCTATTCGAGCCCTATTCCGCGCTGTTGAAAACGGAAAACAAGCTGCATTGTTGGCACCCACGGGAGTCTTGGCAGCTCAACACTACAAAAACATACTGAAGCGTTTGGGTCCCGAGACCGAGTGGAATATCAGTGTGGCCTTGCTGCGTGGTGGCATGGGCAAACATACCAAATCAGGAAAGGAGCTCCGTGGCCAAATTAACGGTGGTGACGTTCAGTTGATTGTTGGGACTCATGCATTGCTCAGTAACGATCTCAAGTATCATAATCTTGGGTTGCTGGTGATTGATGAAGAACAGCGGTTCGGAGTGAAACAAAAGGAACGACTCAAACTCATCTGTGGTGGGATCGATGTGCTAACACTCAGTGCCACCCCTATTCCACGTACCCTGCAGATGTCTCTCAGTGGCATTCGAGATACATCAACTATTCGATCTCCGCCGCCCATGCGAAAGCCAACAAAGACCTATGTGCAGCCGTTCTCACAAGAAGTCATTCGGGATGCCATCAAGCTTGAACTTGAGCGTGGAGGGCAGTCGTACTACGTTGTTCCTCGCATCTCGATGCTTGGTGAGGCCCAGAAAACTATTCAGGAACTCTTCCCAGACATTCGCATCATCCAAGCACACGGCCGAATGAGTAGAGGCGGCGCCGAAAACAATGTAGCTGAATTCGCTGAAGGAAACTACGACATTTTGCTTGCAACCACAGTGATTGAAAATGGAGTGGACATCCCCAGCGTCAATACAATCATCATTCAGAACAGCCAGTCATTTGGTATGTCAACTATGTATCAGTTGAGAGGAAGAGTTGGTCGTTCCGATCGCCAAGCCTATGCCTACTTTTTGCACAACGAGGAGTCGGTGACGGAGGAGGCATTCTTGCGTCTTCAAGCAATGGGTGATCTTCACGAATTGGGGTCAGGTTTTGATATTGCCAACCGAGATTTAGAAATTCGGGGTGCTGGTAGTTTGTTGGGAACCGAGCAATCTGGTATGGCTGCCAAAGTCGGTTTCGATCTGTACATGCGGATGCTGAAGAAATCCATTCGGAAGTTGCGTGGACTGGATGTGCCTCTAGTGCCCCGAACAAACTTCCTGGTTCTGCCAGAGGGAACATCAGTAGAAGTTTTCAGAATACCGAAAAAGTACATTCCTGACGACAAGGAACGTCAAGAACAGGAAACCAAGGCACGCCTTGCTGAAAGCACTGCAGCACTAGTCAAGCTGACGAATCTGTGGAAGAAAAAGTATGGTGCGATCCCTGCTAGCGTACAATTTCAGCTCAAGACGATGCATTTGCACGCATGCACGCGTCGATTAGGAGTTGACTTGGCTGGGCTCATTTTGGACGAGGAGACTGGAACACAGGATTGTGTGCTACGATCTCCTGGACTACGTCCACGGCATTGGGCAAAGATAGTCGAACTCATGCCCAACGGTGTTGCCCCTAAAGGCTTAAATGTTGTGTTCCCTCCGAGATTCACAGCAACGGGGCAAGAAGAAGAGAGCGTGGGCGGCAAGAAGGTAGACTTGAAGTCTCTGCTAAGCGATGCCAGTCTTAGTGAGGATAACGATGACGATGATTGGGACTCTATGGACGAGGAAGACGTCGAAGCGATGAAAGACATCTCATCTGCCTTTTCGGTGATGGATATGAACGATGTGGATATTGAACAGTACCCTCGACTGGTAGTGAAGAACTTGGGACAAGTAGATGCCAGGACAATCGACAAGATGCTAAAAGTGTTGCTTCCTCTGTCGAGAGTGGTGTACGAAGAACAAGAACGAGACAAAGAGCGAGCCAAGAATGCGGCTGACCTAAGAGATAAGCGTGCTTTGTTGAAGCAAAGAGCAAAGGTGAATGAGTCGCTAGAGGCTAGGCGAAAGGGGTACAACCTGTCACCAACAGAGAAGAATACTCTACGCTCATCGGGTAACTTGTAGGTAGTGTTGGTCTGATGGTTTAATAAAATCTATCTACTACTACCGGTGTCTTTTCCCGTTAACGTCGTGAAACTGCGCTTTGGCCGCCTCAAGGATTGGCCAAAGTCCCAAGCATCTATCTGGTGATGTTCGCACCCTCAAAACTCATATTTGAATCTTCCTAGAGAGTTGGCTGCTTCCGCGTTTCCGCCTGAATTGGTCTGCCCGTTTCCAACCACCCGTTTCTTCGCCGAAGGTGCTTTCTCATCCTCCTCCACAAACGATAGCCCAAGGAGTTCTTCTTCCTCTTCTCGCTCGTCATCCGTGCTGTCAAGAGACAGGGAACATTCGTCATCGAGAAATATGGAATCAGTGTCTAGGAAAGTGGGATCTAACGAGAAGTTCGACATGTTTCGTCCAAGTGGCTGCGGCCTGAGAAGGCTCTCGTTCAGTATCAGATACACGTCTGCTGTCGACGTTGGAGAGACTGGTAGATGCAAGTCCACCGCAGGTTTCTCCGAAGGCGTCAGTGGAGAATGGGGCGATTTTCCACGCTCCTCCTCGGTATCTCGTCGAACATTTTCTTTGTCGGAGCAAACAGACATGGTTGAACAGACCCAGTTCGAGGCCGTGGCTTGTCTTGTCTCGGCTCCTTTTGAATTTTGACTAAGTGCCTTGGAAATGATTCTTTAGATGAAGTTTGGTCTCCGAGTGGCAATGAGCCAAGATCCCATTGCAAAACTGCACGACAAGAATTGGGCGAGCACCTTGGAAAATTCGAAAATTCGAAGGTGTCGTGGGGAAGTCGTGGGAGGCGAAGAGCTTTTGCGACCGAGCGCGGGCGTGTCCCACTTCCAAAAAGAACTCCTAATTCCCCGGACAAACAAGACTGCTGGCTATGATAGCTACTAGTACTCGTTCTGCGTACAGCGTACGGTATGGTACCGGTACCGGTACCGTGGCTGCCACCATTGGACTGGCCGAAATGGTTCTCTAGCCAGCTACCAGACAGTACGCCGGGACACAGGTAACCAGCATAGCAACACATGCCCCACAAACGCTAAAGCAGGAAAGAAAAGAAGATGCGGTTCACGCGAAACCAACATACAGCTGAGCAACGACAAGAAGACCCGTAACCTGAGCGATGACCGTGATGGTGCCGATGATACGAACCAAAAAAGGGACTGTCACGCACTCACGAGGAGCTCACGCCAAGGTCAATGCCACAAGGGGCGTGCATCAAACGATAGGCAGGTTTGCCACTTTATCAGTCGATCATCTAATTACCCGACCCTCCAGAATCAGCAACACTTGAAATCTGATTGATGATGGGGAAGGCTCTAGAAAGAACCATAACTTTTTGCGAATGTTGTGCACATATCATTTCCCTCGCTGTCAGTGGTGCATTTGCAGCTGGGCCATCCAACATCACTGGAAGTGTGAAACCTTTTTCAACCCAACATATACCTTTCCACAAAAACTGTTTGCCTGACAACAATAATGATACAGGCAACCAGCAGTTGGCAGTGGCAAATCCGGTTTTGGAACATGATCGTGAACTTTGGCAATCAGTAGATCCACTGATTCAGCAAAGCAACGGCGGACGAGACAGAGGCACGTGTGTGTTTTTTGCATCACCATGCTCTTCATTGTAGCTGCCATTGTTGTTGGTTCCAGGTATTTGGTTGGTCAACAACATGAAAACATGAAGCCAGATAGGACAATCAGCACTCAAACAGATGTAAGCCGTCAGAATTGCCATCCTCTGCTCCAGTCGGAGTTCTGGACCTTTGTTGGGTAGTCTCCGGATCACAGATTATTTAGCATCAACAATGGGTGAGAAGCTCCGCAGCGGAAAGCATGGCAATGGTCAAAAACATCACCATCTTGTGAGTGGAGGAAGACACAACTGTTTGCTCTTGCTTCATTCTTCTATGCCTTTGAAGGAGAAAACTGGTACACTGGACCTATGCTCAACAGAGCTTGGCCTTCTTACAAGTCTGGGTTTTAAAACCTAACTGGCAGCTCTGGCTTGTCTGACATCCTCCGAGAGGCAATATGCTTCCTGCAGAATGCGTCTTGCATGCATTTCTATGACACTGAACACTGATTTGTTGGCTTTGATTGTGCCATCAGTCTGAGTGGATGTGATTGTGCATGCCACAGTTGCAATGCTTCTTGGGAGAAGGAAGCATTGGCTAGATTGGCCACCCACAAGAAGACAATTCTTTGCAATGCTCAATTTGCCTTCAGCCTGAGTAGATTTGATTCTGCATGACACATTTCCAATGCTCTTGGGAGAAGGAAGCATTGGCTAGATAGATTGGGCGTCATCGTGACTACACCGAAACGATAGGTTACAATGCAACCAACAACAGTCAACCAATACTACTGTTTGCAAGACACCAGATTTCTGTGACTAGTTTACTGCTTATATTAAGAGGCAGCGACTGGCATACAGTACAACTGGTAATGACAGCGAGTTGGAAAACAAGCAAGCTAAACAAGTCAAAAGCCACTCTCCTCAGACGATGAGACGGCCGTTTCTACATGTACAGAGTGCTCGGGAGAGATCGAAGCCCCGGCAACTTCGGCTGCGTCCGCGCCCACTTCCTGTCGATCTTCCATCTTCTTGATCATTTCTTCGATGGTGGCTTCTGTCATGATGAGTTGTTCCACTTCGGCAGGGGTGATCTGAAGGCCTTTTTCTCTGCAAGTAAGCTTCCTCGCTTTCAAAACCGGTTCTTGGGTGTTCGCTGAGCTTTCAATAGCATCGGATTGGCCATGAGCAGCGATCGTATCATCATGATTCCGCTTTCGGCTGCGACCGGAAAACAACGCAGGCAATCTGTCCGTCCCGGCGTTGGAGAGGGACGAGCGGAAGTAGTGCTCAACCATATCCTTGGCATCCGCAAACTCCATGCAGCCAAGGTCGATACTTCGGTCAATACGTCCAGGGCGCACCAGTGCCGGATCCAAGAACTCTGGGTGGTTGGTGGTCATCTGTGCAGGTGGGAGACGATCGTCAAAGTGAGAGCATAGTTCGGATGACATGCCGTCGACATTGGCCCTGTATTCAAACTTACAATCACAATCCTGCCAGGAGTATCGACAATGCCATCGAGCGCATGCAATAAACCAGCCAAACTCAGAGCATCCGTGGGCTCGATAATGGGAAGGGCGTTGCGGCGACGGTCTGTGGCGGATGCTTTTGGATTGTCCGGCTCCTTCGGTGTTTCGACAGTCTTTTTCGGAACCAGATCCCGTCGTTTGACCACGTCGGAGGCTGGGGCGACATCTTCCAACACGAAGATGACATCTTCTTGTCCAAACTTGACCGCCTTCTCGAGTCCGGCAACTGTACAGACTTTGTTGAACATGACCGCATTTTGAGCAAGGATTCCGTCTATTTCCTACAAAACAGATTCTCAAGAGATTTCTCCTCACCGAGAAGGTATCGCGTGTAGACAGGCGTCAGAAGCGAGTCTCAATTGCCGTACATGCAACAACGGATGGAACCAAAGTTGTAGAGGTATCGGCTATCATTCTCAAGTTTCTTGAGCTCGTTCCTGTACCACTGAAAAGCCGCGTTGACAAAGCTATCAATTGAAGTTGGCCCGGATGACTCGAGCCGTATAGCCATGGATTTGGATGACGAGTCACCGCTTTCACCCCAAGCCCCTTCGCCGGTACCGTACCATTGCCATTCTTCTTTTCTTCCGAAGACTCTTCGTAAAAGACTCTCACAGTAGATCCATCAAAGACACCCACACTGTGCCAGGTCGACTTGATGGGCAGTTTGATAATCTCGCACTGCTTTAACAACTGGCAGGTGGAGGTGGTCTTACTTTGTCCATAGTGGCTTGCACAAACTGGTCTTACTTTGTCCGTAACATTATCACTTCCAATAGTGGTCAGCTTGAGGTCAGCATCATCCATCTTAAGATTGCAGCACGCGTGAATGCACAAACTCATGGCCTTGATCAGAAAGTTATTGTAGGATTCGTCATCGCTGTTCGCCGTGCCCGCCAACAGTCCCACAGGACGTGAAACAGATTTGAACTCAATGTTCCTTCGATACATTCGGGCTTCTTGAACAACATCTTGATGATACGATCTTTTTGTTTCTGGGCCCAGCCGAGACCCACATTCAAAACTACGGGCAGCATCATGGCGAGGGCGGTGTCCATTGTCGGATCACCAGTCTCCAGGCTGTTCATGATTCCCATCATCTGGATGGAGCCCATATCCCATCAGGCTCACGTTGTTGCTGTTGTTGTTGCGGTTGCTGTTCATTGTCTGGCTGGTCTGACAGGTCTAGCAAGTAACTGTTCACTAAATTATTATGGCAGTTGATGAAGAAATTGAACGGGGGCTCATTAGTTTTGCGGGATGGAGGAAGCCAAAAACGTGTGCAGCTGTACTGTACGGTACGAGATGATCAACCTTCAACTCAGAATCCTGGAATGATTGGCAGCAAGTTTTCGCCATTTTGGTTTTTTCAAAACCGCTCGCTCTGAGTCCTGTTCGTGATTGCTCCTGCACAAAACCGCTTCCGCCAACGAACGACGAAACGATGACGATGAGTCGATGACGGCTGAAAAGATGATGGATGACAATGGCGGCACAAGTAACAGGTCGGTTTGCAGCCTCAACAACGAGGATATCTCTCTCATTGCCACTTGCTTTTATCAGGCATAGAGCAAGATGTCACCAACGACGAGAAACGATCTGGAAATCATCCCTGGCGTCACCTTCCGATAATCAATTTGGTGACGATCGATTGTGGATCCTGGGATCTGGTTCCATTGGACTATTCCTGGCAGCCTCCATTCACATGGCACACCCTCAATACCCTCTTTCTATCTTATTGAGAGATCATCACGCAGATAACCTTATTCGGAAGGATCACAATGAAGCTCACATCAAAGTTCTTTTGGAACAACCATCGTCTGATTGCCATAAGCCTAGATCTGCAGTGCCAGTACCTGCCAACCTGATCACGTCCCTGCACGAGGATCCTGCCGTTACAATAAGAGCACTGGTACTTTCCACCAAGGCTTTTCATGCAGTGTCCGCATTGCAATCGATTCACACCCATCTAGCAGCCGACGCTCGCATTGTGGTCTTTTGCAATGGAGCCTTGGCCGTGAGGGACGAGCTGGAAAAAGCTTTTCCCTCCGAAATCCACTGGAACACCGAATTATCATCCATCACTCATGGAGCTTACCAAAACATCAAACACAGAGGAAGCGACAGATGCTATCACGTTGTTCATGCAGGTGTTGGAAAGATCTTTTTGGTACACCCTCATCCAGGAGGCGACCACGACCTACTAGCACCGGGGATGCTCAATCAGGCAGGCTTGAACTGCCAAGTCCTCGCCAGCCCCCAACAAATGGAGTCTATTTTATGGTACAAACTGGCGGCCAACTGTGTTTGCAATCCTATCACTGCCATTCATCAGTGTACCAATGGAGCCATGAAAGATTTCGTACCGGACTTGGACAAGGTGATTGCCGATGTAGTAAGGGAAGTTTGCGAGGTTCAGCATGCCATTGCTTCCGCTACAGGGCAATCCCTGCAGTTGGACCCTCTGCTTGTCACAACCTTTGTCCATCAAGTCATTGCAGACAATTTCGAGAATCGCACGTCGATGCAACAGGACGTCTGGCATAAACGGCAGACCGAGATTGACTTCCTCAATGGGTACATTGTCAGGGCAGGGGATTTACATGGCATTGCGTGCCCAACGAATCTTGAGCTGCGGGAGCAACTCTTGCAATTGGAGGCCAACTTTTAAAGAAAAGCTACCTGCAGCCAGCGTTGCTGCCTGTTACCATTGCATGTAGCTGGCTGGCTAGCTGGCTAGCTAGCTGGCTGGCTAGCTGGCTGGCTGGCTAGCTAGCTTGCTAGATGTAGCTGCAGTACGATACTTACTTGGACTTAACGACAGAAATGAAGAACAGTAGCAGGTCGAAAGTCCAATGGATGTTGCAGGTGCTGGCAACTGGATGCCTGTACCACACTGTAAACTCACTCATTGGCAGGAAGTCTCAGCAGATCTCCGCACTCCTCATAGATAAGTCCTTTGAAATTCAAACACCGACAAATCCTGGTTGGGAACAACATTCTCTCAGCACATTTTTACCATGGTTGAGTCAAGAATAGTCTCCCTAAAAAAAATGGAGACGAAATAGTGGGAGCTTTTTCATTGGTTTGGGGCTTGGGGTCAATTCTGAATAGTTATCATGAAAGATCTTGTCTTTATTTCTCAAAAGGCAAGCTGAAAATCGCAGTCCTCTGCAAATTTGGAAACACTTCACCCGAACACTGCTGCCGACAGTGCTCTGCTCCCGAACAGTTTCAGTATTCAAAAGTATTACTTCTGAATTATCACTGGACTGTCTTTAAGGATTTTTGCAGACATGTTTTGTTAACGATTTTTGTGCCCACCGCATCACACAGCATTGTACCGCACCGTACCGCACAAGAGATCCAGCATTTCAAGGAATGCCATATTTATTTCTCCTGGTTAGGCGAAGGAAACGGAAGTTAGGTAGATGCGGAAAAATAAAAGATAGACTAAACTGTACCTGTAACTCAATATTTACCTAAGCTATCATATGACCATTAGCCATTAGCCTCTGTCTTCCGCACATATTCTGAGCTTTTATTTCAAAAGGCAAGCTGAGAATCGCATTCCTCTGCAAACTTGGTTTCACTTCTCTCAAACACTGCTCCCGAACACTTCTCCTGAACGCTTCCCCCGAAAGTGTTGTATTAGTATTACTTCAGAATTATCGTGGACAGTCTTTTAGTATTTTGCAGAGAATTTTCGTTGACGATTTTTGTTCCTGCGCACTGCACCGCACCGTATCGAACCGTACCGCACCGTATCGCACCGTACCGCACCGTACCGCACCGTACCGCATCGCACTGTACGAATTAAAAGCTTCAGAGATCCAACATTCAAGGAATGCGATATTTATTTTAGAGTAAATAGAGCAGTAAATAGCTGGTAAAATAAAAATTTAATGTGGCTAGTTGGTCAAGAGTACACGTGAACCGCACCTGTACCGGTAGTCTACCAACCTGGTACAGGTGCAGTGCTCCAGATGTTGGTCGGCCGGTGGTCGGCGTGGTCTGCTGGTGGTCAGCTGGTACTAAGCGAACCAAGACAGACCCAAGTCCTCCAGCTCTGATGTTCCAGTGTAAAGCAAGCAAGCAGGAGCCAAAAAGACTTAGTAGACTACAGGAGCTTGTATTGGAAGCTATTCGAAGTGGACACGTGGACTGCCTGTGCCCTCTTCAATTGAACTCGGAGAACAAACTTATTGCCCTTTCCGAACAAAAGTCTTTGGTTCCACATCTGCTTGGACACAGTGTCGTTAATCATTTATCTATCTACTGCCCATTATACGACTATCTTATTACTGCATGATTTATGACACATTTGCTACTCATGCTGAGTACTTACTAGTAGTACTGATTACCGGTACTGAGTACTGGGTACACTGAGTACTCCGTAGTAGCTACCGGTATTGCCTTTATGATCTATCTATGAGGTTGCTGGCGGTACATGTACTGGAGCTCTAGATCTACGGGTACGCTAGTACATGTACTACTACGGCTCGGTACTTTAGTGGCTACCGCTAGCTACCCAGTACGGTAGTAGCCAGGTGGATTCGATTCCTCCATCACTCCAGTGGTACATGAGGTATGAGGTGTTATGAGGGAGCTTATGAGGGACACTGCGAAATGCGAACTCAATGAGAACAATGCCCCAGCCAGAACAGCGAAGGCTCTCAGAAAACGCTACTTTGAATAATTAATTTGTGTGGACCAAGATCCAAGAGTCTTAATATCCAGCAGCTCTTAATCCGTTTGGATGAGTTCATTCAAGGGATAAGAGGCTAACCCAAACACAGTTCAAGTACTGGTACAAAATGTCCCACTTTCATACTGCACTTCTACATGAATTGGACATTATTTACTTTGACATGAAGGGACAACTTCAAGGTCCAATGTGTCTTAGTTGAACCAGTGTCTTAGCTACTGCATTTTGTACGGCACTAGAAGCTTACGATGCAAGATGCTTCAATGGTGAACTGGTGAGATAGTGAAGTCCAGCGCTGTATGCAATATTCATATTTTCATGTTTCATGGATTCATATGATTGGTTTTCTCTTTTATTTTATAATTTTGCATTTCTAAGGACTCAATACTACTACATGTACTGTAGAATGTTTTCGTATATTAATCAGCACGTGGACATCTTTTGGGTACCGGTACGGTACGAAGTACGAAGCTATTCTCTAATTTTAACATTAAATTTTGCCAGTTAATGGAACCTTTGAAAAGCGAGCTTTCTTCTTGGTCAGTGGCATTTTCTTCGCTGTGTCCGTGGCCATGACAAACTCAGTTCGGAAAGCAAGCTTCAGTATTCCAAGGTCGTAAATACATTCAACGAATTGCTTTGTTTCTATAACACAATTAAAAAAGACTTCCGGGTGACTTGACAAAAGAAGGGTTCAGGCATAATGGAAACTGCCCTCGCTTCCTGGCTTCCTCAGCTCTTCCTTCCTACCCTCTGGCTTTGCGCTCTAGAATCTACGATCGACTTGACACTCAGCATTCCTACATTCACCTCATACTCACCGGTCTCACCGGTAATAACTTCCGAAAAGAGATACATGTAGCTCTCTCGTACCTTTTATGATTCATCGGGAGCATCAATGCAACAAGATCGTTCCGCCTAACAAGCTCTAACGCCATTTATTTTTGTGCTCCTTCCTGTCCAAGAGAGCTCATTCTCTCCTTTTCAACTTACTTGGTGAGACAGTCTTTTCGAAAGGCTGATTTGTGGACAAGAAGCTTCACTGCTAATCTTTTACTGTATCCCTGGCTTAGATAACACCAACACACCAACGAGTGAAGAGGTTGTGGCCACAGCAAGTTGTTCCAGCAGGGATAAATGATCGAGACTATCGTTAAAGCCAGTTATAACGAGGGACTCAAGATGGATAGCAAAGGGAAAATCCCCTATGAGTTGCTCCTAAACAAGAAAGGGAGGGCCCGCCTTCCTGATAAACTAATGGATCACCTCAACAATGAAGAGCTTAATGAAGTGATTTGGTGGCTGCCTGATGGCGCCAGCTTTGCTATGGATTCCAAGACAGTACAGGAGAGCTTCTTGGATGTCCATTTCCGTGGAACCAAATTGACGTCCTTTATTCGATCTCTGAACCGGTGGTAAGCATTGTTATCAGCTGTGTGTATGTATTCTGGAGAGCCCAAGCCAAGTCGATGCCCCGTCTCAACTCTTCATCCTTGCTTGCTTTTGTCACATGCTACTGTGTTATTGAAAAGGGGCTTTCGAAGAGTGTTTTTTCATGCAATGCCTAGGAATGCCATTTGTTTCCAGAGCCCCAAGTTCAAAAAGGGTGAACCTCAGCTCCTGAAGGAAATGAAATTGGCTCCCACTGGGAGTGGAGGTGCCAGCAAACCTCCATTCATTCCTGACCGGGGCCATATTGGTGCCTCTGCCAGTGCTGCAGCTGCCTCCTCTTCCAGCCAAGTTGATGTTCTCTTTGGCCAAGATATTGGAGCCCAATCAGGCATATCGGGGGTTGCTTCGCTGCCCGGCTCTTCTGTCGGTGCAACAGGTATGTGGCGAAGAAGCAGGGGTGATGATGATGTTGTCAGGTCAATCACTCGAGAGGACATGTCTCACATCATCACGGGTGAAATAGGATTATCATCACTTCAGAATATGAGCGGTGTTTTGGGTCACCAATCAAGAGGTGGGTTGGCCTCCCCGGGCCCATTAAACTTGTCATTGGGCGGTCACAATCATTTACAACAGCTCCAAAGCTCCTTGCAACCAAATGCCGGTGCTCCTGGTGCGGCCGGGAATCGGGATCAGGCACTACTGGCCGCGATGCAAAGGGGGGATCTTTTTAACCAACTCCAGATACAGCAACACCTGCAGCAGCAACAACAACAACACCACCAACAACAACAGCAGCAAAACCGAGATTTGCAATATGTGCAGAGTCTCTTCCCGCCGTCAGCGGCAACGGCGGCAGGAGCCGGTCTCCCGCAAGGGTTTCTTGCCTCTCAAGGACTGTCACAAGGAGGAGCACCCAGTAGCATCTATGCTGCTGCCGCCGCACGGCAGAGACAGTCGGAATTCAAACAAGCCGACGATCCACCAGGTAACAGGGAAGAAGAAGACCCTGATGCTGCTTTGCTGAGTCTGCTGAGGAGGCAGAACAACAACGGTCATGATCCATGAACAACAACGTGGGGAATTGCCCGCCAACGTGCCAGGAAGACGGGTTTCACAAAGGCGAAAGAGTTTCATGGACGCCTCCTGCGCACTTTTGTTCCACTACCACACACGATGACTGTAGATAAAACCTCGCTCTAGTGAGATCCCCTCCTCAATATCTTCACTTTCCTTCGTCGGGGTGCGGGCATGGGACCTGTCAAAACACAGCATTCTACCCGTACTAGCTAGTTGGAAGTCTTAGAAGCAACCCTGCTGGAATCGAGCGAGCAAACGCCAACGTTTTTCATGTGTTCCCTGACGAAATACTGTACATGTTATATCCACCAAACATTCTTTCCTCGCTTCCCTTTGCCTTGTTCCAACTTGGAGAAACACGTTGAAGGTAAACAACAAAAGACAGGTTGCCCCGTGGCATTTTCTCAGCGTTGCTATTTGTAGTTTTTCACTGTCGACTCTTTCTTCCGCGTCGCTGTTGGCAACAGATTCAATTTGATTCAAAGAACCCAACAGGCGGCAATGATGGCCTATCCGTCCACCCACCCAGCCGACATAAGAGTATCCCATCTCCTCGTGAGTGAATTTCGAAACCACTTTATAATTCTTCTTTCGTTGCCTTTTGTTTCTTTTCTTTTTTTGCCAACACTTTGTCGTAATAGTCATTCCATATTTTCTGCGGCACCATGTACCGATTGTACCCTTCGGTGCCAGGTACCATGGACCCAAAATACGCGTGCCAATTGGGGTCATGGTACTGTTTGGCCAGCGCATGTGACATCCACGGTTTGGTATCGGGATTTCCGGCAAAATCGTATACTTTGGCTTGTGACCAATCCATGGTTTTGCCATCGTCTGCCATGGGTCTAACGGCCTCTGTTTGTGCGACCAGGGTAAAGCGTGGCAGTGGTTTCCATTGCTGAATGACTTGATTCAGGAGCGTGATTTCTCCTTCTGCCAAGTACTGTTTGGATGCCAATTGATGAAAATAGGATTGCACATGAGGCAATGGTTTGATGACGAAAAAAGCCGTGTAAAAGTTGCATTCCAAGAATTGTGGAGGATTGGTATCCCAGCATTCGGGGACACCGTGTGCTGCAAAATGGGCTTCACCAGTGTCTAGATAATCAAACACAAAATCGAAATTGTGTAGAGCAACACTGTCGGCATCCATGTATACGACGACATCGTAGTCGACGAGTCCCCAGACGGCGAATTTGCTGCAAGTTCCCCAGTAACGATCCAATCCTTTGAGTGTTGGATTTTCTTGAATGAGTGTCTTGTGCTGCTCTGAAATTTGACATTCCGTGTAACTCCCATCGGCTTTGGTCAATTGTCGTGTTTCATCCCAGTACTCTTTCAATTCGGCAATCCGATCGGGAGTCATATCGGAACGAGGGTCATCTTCTGGACCAACCCACAGCAATACTCGATCGCCCTTGGCTTTTACAGCTTGGAGAGATTCTGCCAGAACGAGAGCGCCCGGAATGTACGTACTGGTTGTCACCAGTGTCACAATGGCCACCTTCTTTTCCTTGGATGAAGAACTTTCATCGTCCGAGGAGGCACCCGTTACTGCCAGCAGACAGCCAAATGCCAGGATCAAGCCCACAAGGAACCGATGCTTGAATCCTGGAGGTCCCCTGCCATGTTGGGGTCTTCTGGAGTGGCCTTGTAGAGCACAGGAGGGCATACTGAGAACCAAGGAAGTACCGGTACTGTAAGAAGTGCTGCACATCAACAACAAGGCAGGACAGCCACAAGCCGCAACAGCAGCAACAATAACGGTGATGAGGAGAAAAAGTGAGACGAAGCGAGAAATGTCTGTGTGACTCGTCACTCAGTCGAGTCACTCCCCGAGCGAGCGAGCACATCATTGAAAGAGTAAGGTTAGAGCTAAACATCAATTGGATCTTCGCGTTATAGTTGTTCCTCTTCGGACAACAATGACCATGAAGATGATGATGTATCCAGGTCGTCTATTGTGGCGAAAGCCGTCCTCTCCTGCTAGTGCCAGTGCAACGGGTCTGGTTGCTGTTGCCTTGTTTATACTAGCAAGTAGTAGTACATCGAACGCCTGTACTGTCTTTATTGTGGGCAAGGATGCCACAACCGATGGATCCGTCTTGGTGACGCATTCCAACGATGGAGAGTTTGATACGGATCCTCGATTGGTCAAGGTCCCTGCACAAGATCATGATGATGGGGCCAGCATGCGACCAGTCTTTTTCTCTCCCGAAAGCTATCCTCGTTACGTGGGTCAAGATCGCGGTGTCCCCGAGTATTCCCCACAAGAAAACCAACAACAAAAACCGTTTAAACCCATTGGATTCATTCCTCAGGTCCCTCACACGTTTGCCTATCTCGAAGACACATACGGAGCCGTCAATGAGCATCAAGTGGGGATTGGAGAATCGACTTGCAGTGGTGTCTTTGGAGCCGTGCCCTTGGGAGCTCCCAATGGAACGGCGCTCCTTAGCGTCGACGCGTTGACGCAAATTGCCATGGAACGAGCCACCACGGCACGACAGGTGGTGGAACTCATGGGACAATTGGCCGAACAATACGGATTCTACGGTGCTGGAGAATTCGAAGGCACATCGGAAAGTTTGGGCGTTACCGATCCAAACGAAGCTTGGATTTTTCACATTTTACCGGATCCCACTGGGAAATCTGCCATTTGGGCGGCACAAAAGATACCCAGCAACAGCTTTGCGGTACTGGCCAATATGTTTGTGTTGAGGGAACTGGATCCAAACGATAAAGACAACTTTCTCATGAGTGATTCCGTTCACAGCGTCGCGCAAGACTATGGCTGGTGGCATCCTACCGACGGAACCTTGTTGGATTTTACCAAGGTCTACAGTGACGGGGAATACGCTCACAAATTCTACAGTGGAAGACGCATGTGGGGTGGTTTTCATCTGGCTTGTGAATCGCAACAATACCCCAGTGACTACAAGGACCTGCAGTCGGATCCGGTCTACCCTCTCTACTGCACACCGGATCACAAAATCAGCAGTGCGGATCTTTTTCGATACCACCGATACACCTACCAGAACACTGCATTTGATCTGGGAGCCGAAGGAAACTTGGCAGCTGGTCCGTTTGGCTCTCCTGATCGATGGAAAGCAGGCCCCGGCGAAGCTGCCGTAGGAGGTAACTGGGAACGACCAATTGGACTCTATCGGACATCCGACACCTATGTCGTTGCATCGCATGCAGACTGGAATTTGGGAGCCGTCTTGTGGTTTGGACCGGCCTCGGCACTCGCAACTGTCTTTACACCATTCATAGTGGCACTGGCAGATGTACCGGCGTCCTTTCGAAGCGGCCATCATGCCGAATTCAGCCGGGCGTCCGCCTTTTGGGCAGCCTGTGTCGCGCACAATGTTGCCAATCTCAAGTGGAACTACGCCATTCAGGATGTTACAAAGCGACAAAATGAGTTGGAAGGAGCATCCATTCGAATGGTGCGAGCGCAAGAACAAGATTACCAAAAGAACCACAATTTGACTGCTGCTCAGGAAGCATACGATCAAAACATCCAGGCCATTGTGACGTCTTTGTGGTCTCTCTCGGACGAGATCTTGTTCAAGTATGCTAGCGGATTCGTCAATGAGCCAGGCACAGACAAGGGAATGTCTCAAATGGTGGGATACCCTGCTTGGTGGTTGAAGGAAGTTGGATTTGCACAAGGTCCACCACCGCCGCCTACAAAACCAAAGTGTTGTCATCCTCCCAAGCAAGACGACCATCACACCAGTAACCATGAAACAATGGAGGAAGGCCCGGCTCTTCTCACCGGAAAGGCTGCCATGAAAAACTATTTGAGAAACTTCGACGACAGCGTTGCATAAGCTTCGTCATGTGTCCCCTACAGCATCGTAAAAGAATTCAAATAGAGATCCTGGTCGTGAACTTTGTCGTAAGGCTTGTTTCGATTCTGGGCTTCTTGTACGTACAGATACAAAGACAAGGCAGCAAGATGACCCAACTAGAAAATCGAATACTGTTACTTACTATAGTTGTCCTCTCACCGACCGCCTACAGTAGCACATCCCTAAATCTGGGGCCTGACGAGGCTGGAACACCTCAGACTCTATGCCAGGAACGTGGACTGTCTTCTCGCTCAGTGGGGGGTTTAAGTTGACATTTGTTTGCGTATGCGACACCGGACACCGAAGAACGCTGTGCAAAATTCTTCGCGAGTGACTGAATACCAGTCTTCGTCTCTGCGACCTCGGACGTGAAAGCATGAAGACGGATTCGATTGCTCCCTCAAACACAGGTCAAGCAAGCTCTCTTACTCTGCCCCACGACTGTAGGGACAGGCGGATGCAACATGCAGCGCACTCCAACCAAGCTAGAACGAGAACGGATCCTACTCGCGAGCGCTTCTTTACCGAGCGATAGTTTGCTAAAATTAGCTCTGCAAGGGAATCCTGTCCGCTCTTGAGATCCTCACTCTTTGCTTTCACCATGTGCAGCGGCAGCTCGATCACCGGTCAGAGGGGCGAACCTTGATGGTTTGCTTTGCCGGTTTTTCGGTCACACATGCAACCAGTAATTCTAAGAGCAGCGTCAAAATGTGCTCCATATGCTTCAATTCAGATCTGAAAATGTTTAAGAGACGGTAAACAATGATCACTCCCGCTGGTTCCGAACTTGAGGATTTAACCTAGCAGGTGTATGCCTTGTCGGAGCCAAAGACGAGTATCCTGCTAGTAGCAAGTCAGACTCCTCCAAGCAGCTTTTGTGATCCCGTCAAACCAACAGCACAGGAGCTAACCCACTGGTCAGGAAAGGTAACCACTAACTAGCCAGAGACACAACAGCAGGCAATGTGGAAGTGCCACTCGGTTGCCGTTTGCTCACAAATCGACAGTTTGCGGAGTGCATAGAGGCAACATGAACAATCCAAACAGTAAATTGAACCTCAGCTTCTCGCAACTCTTTCATGCCCCATCGGTCACTTTTCCAGTTTTTGGAAAAGTGCCCGAGGATACCCCCACAAATCTGAAAGAAGAAGATCAAGTTGGTCGCAAAGGGAAGCGATCAAAACTTCCCTCGATGAAATCAAAGTCCCGGAGCAGCACCAGTCAGCGCCGAAGCAACAGTCGCTTGAATGATTTGTCCAATTCAGATAGGTCAATTGGCACCCCGAGCACCACAATGGAACCCAACTCTTCTTCCTCCTCGTTTTCCCTCGAAAAGGATGACTTGATTGGAGATGGTGGTAGCAGGATCAGCCACTTTCATCAACAAAAGAAGAACTTTGACAAGATCAAAGAGCAGGTTCGCCGAGTGAGCACAAACAATCTGTCAACGGCGGACCTTGAACGAACCCCGCGAAGATCAAGGATTCGGCGGAGTCTCTCTGCGGGAGAAAACCTGTCAGAGTTGCAAAATGCCACGAAACCTCCGAGGCACGGCCGCAGTCGAATGGCGGCGCCAAAGAGTCCTGCCGAACCTCCATCGTTTCGTCGAACTGTCTCTGATCGCCGTAACTACAGCAGGAGAACCAAGTCAAAGGGGGCATCACCGCCCTCCGTTGTGGGCGGACCACAGGACAGCTGGAGGAGTGAAAGCAGTAACAAAAACACAGCATCCACCTGGTCAGGTGGACACACGGCCGAAACATGGACATGCAACTGTGGGTTCGTCCTGAAGGAGCGCATGCAATACTGCGGAATGTGTGGAGCAAAGAAACACTGGACCTGCGATCTTTGCAGTTTTGACGAGAATTTGAATATCTTTTGCTACTGTGGCGGATGTGGAACAGCGAGATGTGAGTGCCAGTAGCTTTTGAAGCGAAGTCTCTATGCAAACGGTGCGGTGTATAGTGTATACTTGAGTTCAATCAGAGAGTAAAACAGCTTTGAGAGCAACCTAGCTACGACTGTACTGTAGCTAGTTCACAAGTGTCACCACCGCGTACGCAAGAGTTCGGTGTCTACCGGTAGCTAGTGATGTAGAGGATATCACTGCAGTCATACTTCAGCTATCTGATGACCCTTATTACTCATATTCCAGTGTAGCAATGGCAACAGAGTATGGCTCGGCATCCTCAGCTCTTCAGTTGTGCAGGTTGATGCTGTAGGCTATGTTGACACATCCCTCCCTCCTGATCGTGAGGACCCATGCATCCACCACAAAGTGGAAATTCCAGAATAGATATTCTCTCTGCAATCTGTTCCACATCAAAGTGAAGGTCTAGTTCATTTCACAACCGCAAGCACAGGTCCAACGATCATTGGGACCATGGACATGAGCACGGCCCTTGTTTGTAGGCTTCTTGCTTTTCCTCTCTTCTTGACTATCACTGGTGTTTGCTTGATTGGAGGGATATGGATGTGTGGATGTGATCATGCTCCTTCTGTGTAGGCTTCTTGCTTGCACGTCTCTTGTATGATCCGGCCCATATCTTCAGGCTTGATCTAGACCTTGCTTTCCTTCCATCATCTGATACTTTCACCAATATTCTGTCTGATCCTGGTGCCTGCAGAACAACCTTCCTTAGTTGAGCTGCTGTCTTCAGGTTTCTTGGAGTTTGTAATGGTCTTGTGAAGACTTTTGTTTGTGTCATCTGATGGGGTACCACTAGCACCGTTGTTGCGTGCTATGCCTTTCAGTTCCCTGCTGGCCTTGAATCGTTGAGAAATCCTGCGTGTCGGTGATGCATTCTCCTCGACTCGACAATGTGAGTTTGGAGAAGTGTTCTCCTCCGAGGAATATCCAGAGAGACAGACCATTTGACTTGCTCGTGCCTGGTGGGGATTGTATGGTACAGATACGTCTAATATATATCTTTGTGGCCGTCAACCAACAGCTCCTCATCCAGGCTTTACCCGTACCGGTACCTGGTGTCGTACCGGTATAACCCCTCTGGCTCAATAGTGGTAAGCTGCTACTAGTATGAACACCATAGTGGGACGATGGCTCGAAGATCTCCTCGATCTCATCGATCTCATCGCAAAGAAATCCAACGCTTTTGGGGGTTGCAGTGCTTTTGTGTGGAATGTCTGAAGGCGGGTCCGAGCAACCTGCAATACCCGTGGATTCACTTGCGTGGAACGACGACTCCAGGGCATGGTATGAGCGTGCACAAAACTCAGAAATGTCGACGAGACCATAGGAAGATCTGTGCGGGCAGGGCATCCCGAACTAGATCTTCTCCAAAGTATGTCGTGCAACCATGACGTTGGGACCGTCCTTTCGAACCTACCGGTAGTCACCACACCCTAACACCCGCCAGACCAGCTCCAGGATACACACCGGTACCAGTACGGTAGAGGAAGCAGGCTCGCTACGAGCAGCAAGCGAAAGGATCAGGAACGACCCAAGTTGAACTGTGCTGTAGTCGTTCGGCCTTCATTTCCTTCGATCCTCCTGATGTTTCCGCCAGTGCAGTGTGATTCGATTCTTCTTCATGCTGCCCAACCAGCCCACTCCCGCGGTGGAAGCTTCGACCTCGTTTTACAGGTTCATGACAGACATGGAATTCGGACAAACGAGCGAGCTGCTTACAAGACTGCTGTAAATTGTCAGTTCTTCTGAACTCAAGTAATCATAGCTTCGGTACCCCGCGCATCATCGCTGATTAATGTTGTGCATCAGAATCTGAAAGGGCGGATAGTATGCGCATTGAGGGTTTTTGCTGCGACAGCGGGAGGGTCAAATAGCTTCGGGCAGAACAAAGGAAGCACTGAAGCTGAATTGGCCGGCAAGCTCCGTCTCCGGCCAGAAGCTATCGATGGGTTGGTCATGGGACGTGTCGGACGTGTCTGCCCCATCGTTGGTACCGTACCGTACTGGAACACTGGAACAGTGGTCCATTTCTCCAACGTAGCTCTTCGGATTGGGGAGTAAAAGTCACTTGAAGAGACGACTTCTGATCCAATCAACATCGAATCAGCATTGACGTGTGTGGCTCTAATTCATCGCGTGAGGGTTCCAGTGAGACTTTAAGGAGCTGGTTCCTATTCCACTCTCTTGTCCACCGACACTGGCTAGCTAGCTTAGCTAGCTAGAAAGAGCTTACTTAGGCCGGTCTCTACCGGAGCGACTAAAGAAGCGACTAAGCCATATTTTGTAGTTTAGTCCATAGTTTAGTCTCTTGGGGTGGTGTCTACCCAAGCGACTAAACGTCATACGGACTAAAGGCTTTAGTCCTTACGCTCGTTCACCGACTAACGGGAGGCTGGTTAGTCCGTGAGCGAGCGTAAGGACTAAAGCTTGTTTAAGAACAGCAAATAAATCCAACAGAAAACAATACAACTGCATGCCACCGAGTTGGATAACAAATTCCACACTCCTAGCTAGCCTCACTATTAGGCCATCGAATCAGTGCCAATAGAGGAGAGGTGCAAACGATCGAATGAATGATCGAACCATTGAATGATAGTAGAGGTGCAAACGATCGATCTAACGATTGAATGATAGCAGAGGTGCAAAGGATCGAACGATTGAATGATAGTAGAGGTGCAAATGATCCAATGAATGATACCGGTAGTAGAGGTGCAAATGATCGTTCGACGATCGAATGATAGTAGAGGTGCAAACGATCGAATGAATGATAGTAGAGGTGCAAACGATCGAACGATCCAATGATAGTAGAGGAGGTGCAAATGACAGAGGAGAGGTGCATCGCAATGGTGTGTTTTGAGTCTTGTTATCTCAAAAAAAGTAATCACTTCTGTTAAGTCTTTGTTTGAGTCCTTTAAATCCACCATGATGATAGAATATTGGTAGCCAACCAAGTGATCACTTTCTTTAAATCTTTTTTGAGTCCTTTAAGTCCAGCACCCTTCAATGGATTTAGTCCCGGTGTTTGTTTAGTCGCCACGGTAGACACCACGTTTTGACTAAAAACTCGACTAAATTGTTTAGTCCAAGATTTAGTCATCTGCTGGTAGACACCACCATTACTAAAGGATAATGACTAAATCTTGAACTAAACAACCACCTAAAGGATTCCTTTAGTCGGTCCCTTAGTCGCTCCGGTAGAGACCAGCCTTAGAGCTTAACTGAGTGAGGGCCAAAGTTGGGAATGTTCCAAGTTCCAACTTCGCAATTCTTTGAGAGAAATTGAACGGGTGAGGGGTGTTCGACCTCCTTTCGTTGCAGAGCAAAAATCAATAATACTTTGACTAATTGGCTCAAATCCGGAAAAACACCATTAACCTCTTTTGTATGTAAGTAAATACTGTATTCATAAAATGATATTTTATTTGTGTTATGGAATGCCAATTAATGTTATTTACAAGAAATTAATCCTTTTCTAGTAATTATGTTTCACATCTATATTTCGGATTTGATTTTTGAATTCAGGTTATTTAAATGAATTTCAATATTATCGACTCAAAATCGTGATTTTCCCCAGTTTGAATCATACTGGCACAATGGTTTCTGGGCCCTTTATCGCTTTGATGCTCCTGTTGTCTGCTGAGGCTTAAAAGATGGCTGAAGATTCACCAAAGGTCGAGGCATCCAAACGGAAGGATTAATTCGCGAAGGAACATTTTTTCAACCCTGGAACTACCAGGTACAGTACTGTACCAGTAGTCTACTAGTAGACCCGTGGTACCCGTAGGGCTGAAGGCCCAAGGCCCAAGGCGGTGGTATCGAGAGCATAATATCGCGTTCAACTAAGTTGAGCACTGCCTGTCTGAATTCATAAAAAGTTTGATTCTTGTTGGAGCTACCCGAGTTGCCATGATACCACCTGCTGCAGTTGCCACTTTTGACAAGCCCAACGATCCGGCTGTTATGGCTTTTGATCGCGATCATCCCCAGAAAATCGATGCAGACGACAGGATGAAGAATACGAAGACCATGTTGGGAGATGAGGAGGAATTGACTACAACCCCGAAGGCCGCCGAAGCGCCACAAGAACAACATCAACAACCAGTCCTCTCTTTCCTTATCTCCGAAGCCATCGAGACCATTAAGCGCCTTGGCTTCTCCCTGACCCCCACCCAGTCTGATCTAGTGAAGACGATTCTGTCCCAATCAAGCTCTACCACCACCACCATCAACGCTGCAACCAACCGAAATGCCAAAGAACCGTCCCGAGATCAGAACGTGGCTTCGGAAGCTGCCAAAAGTGAGAAGCAGATCGCAGTGTTAAAGGCCCCTGAGCCACCGTCGTGTAAAGACGAAAAAGAGTCGACGGAGATGCAAGTGGCGAACCCGAGGACAGTGCAAGACCAATTTGGGAACACATTGGATTCTTCGATTCAGCCATTTCCGACTGCTACCCCTGCCACGCGCGGCCCACATGCATCCCAACCCGGAGCATTTGCTGTTGCAGGCATCAATTCTCCGAGGATGGAAATTGAAGAGGACCTCAGCTTGGTGGTGACACAGGATCCAGAAGTTGGTCTGCCCCCATCTTCATCTGTACCATACCTGTCTCTGGAAAGTTCAAATCCAAATCCAGATTTGGTTCAGGCTCAGCCAGTGAATGAGGTGAACACTGAGAGTCTTCAACATGCAGAAGATCTAAGCAGGCGCAAGGCAACACGTGCCGACCTAAGGGTTATGATGAGCAAATTTGCAGCCTGTGGCCTTCTGCTTGTCCTGGTGATTGTCGTCCCTGTGGGCTTGGTCGCGAGAAACAAGAGTGGGGACTCAGGATTGGAGACAAAAAACGTAGCATCGCCTACGGATGCACCCTCTCTTCTGCCCGACTCTGAAGTACCAGTATCGCTGGAAGATCAAGTCTTGAGCCTGCTCCCACCTGAAACCATAACCAACATCCAAACTGGTGGCTCATCCAATCAATCGTTGACACCACAGGCCCAAGCCTTTCAGTGGATAATGCAAGACCCTGCCATTGGAATCTATTCAGATGAGCGAATCATCCAACGCTTTGCTCTTGCAACTTTATACCATGCAACAAATGGCCCAGAGTGGTTCCAGAACAACCACTGGCTCAACTACACCAAACATGAATGTGAATGGTTTGCAAGAGATGGTTCCAAAGTGTACTGGCCTTCCGATCCTGATCCCGATTTCCCCTGTGGTGCCAGATACTCACCCGAAGGAGAAACCTATGAAAAGCTGTGGCTCTATGAAAACAACCTCCAAGGAGAGCTACCTGCAGTTGAGTTGGCTCTGTTGACATCCTTGACCAGTATCTCCATCAATCGCAACCCGCAGATGGAAGGGACAATATCTTCTTATCTTGGAAAACTTTCCAAACTGAAGATGTTGGATATGTCTCGCCTTGAAAGCCTTGAAGGGTCCATGCCCTCAGAACTGGCTTTGTTGACCGCCTTAACTGGCCTTTCCTTATTGTACAATGGGTTGGAAGGCTCCATTCCGTTGGAATTGTTTTCAGTTTCAACCCTGAAGCACCTGTTTGTGGACAACAATGAGCTCACAGGGACCCTGGCTTCAGAGATTGGGAAACTGAGCTTGCTGGAGAACCCCTACCTTCACAGCAACTTATTGAGTGGAACCTTGCCTACAGAGCTAGGGTTGCTTTCATTTGTGGATCATCTTTCCTTAGACAAGAACCTTTTCCACGGACCGCTTCCTTCCGAACTTGGACAACTGTCTGCTGTGGAACACTTTGTCCTCATGCACAACGCAATCACAGGGACTGTACCGACAGAGCTGGGGTTGTTGAATAGGCCTAGGTTGGATGAAAGAGGTCCAACTTACTACATGAACCTGGGACACAATCTGTTGGAAGGACCACTCCCATCAGAACTTGGTCAGTTGTCCCTTACAAAGCATCTTTGGCTCAACAACAATAGCTTCACAGGACAGCTGCCAGAAGAAATTGAGAGGATGGTTACAAGTGGATCCTTGCTCTCGTTGAACTTGACCCTCAATCCATTGCTGTCAGGTACAATTCCCCAGGCGCTGTGCTCGGTTGGCCCAGGCCCAAATGTATCGTGTCCTATAGACAACAAATGGTACCAGGCATGTGGGCTGTCCTTTGATTGCGATCAACACCAGAGTGGCAGTCTTTGTGGGTGCAACTGTCCCTGCATCCAGACTGCCAAGAACAACGGAAGTGGCGGGCCATAGAGGCTCTCCAGAGTATTGATGACTTCAGCAGCTGTAGCGTTGAAGGTTGGACCTTTGTAAGTGCATTTTTTGTTAATAGTTTATACGAACCGCCAATTTACCAACGTACCGTACGTGCGCAAATTGTCATCCAGACCGAAGACACAAAACAAATATGGGTACCAGTGTGTCAGGTTGCTGTGACGACACCCTCTAGCTAGTAGATTAGCACTCCCGCCGTTGATACGGTAGGTTTTCAGCTCTGCTTTTCGACCGAACTACCCCGACGCGATCGTGGTTCTGCCGAGCCAAGTCTCGACCTGGAATTTTCTTTCTTACTCCGGTCCATGGAACCTGCTCGCTTTTGCTGCTGCTGCTGATGATGACGAGCTCCCGAACTGCTGCTACCTCTTCTCGATGTCAGTGTTGTCGTTGACTTGCTATTGTTCGTTTTTCCATCATGTTGTCCGCATTGGGAGCAGTAGCAGAAGAACGTCATGTTTTTGTCAAAGCTGCATCCTCCACACGTCCAATGTTTGTCCCCGCCACACATACCGCAAAATTTCATTTTGTGTTTGTGCAAGCTGCCACACCTGCAGGCCCACTTGTCGGGTGGCAGGTAGCGAATGGAACTATGGCGCTTTTGGTTCCGTTGTTTATTGTTGCTCTCGGTGGTCTTTCTGGAACTCCCACATTGGCCGCAGAACATGTAGATGCATTCATTTTCGGCAAATTGACAGTCACTACACTGCCACGATTGTGGACAGCCGCATAAACCACAATGCTTCATTTCGTTGCTCATGGCCCACCCACAGACACAAACCCAAGCGTCTTGCAGGATGCAACGTTGGCAGTGAGAGTCACTCATTAAAATGTTGTTGTTGCCTTTGCTGCCATGCGAGTCGTGAAGGTTGATACAGTAACCAGTACCGGTACTGGATCGACGACGAGAAGTACTCTTGTTGTAACTAGTGGTTTTGGCGGAGGCTCGTTTCTCTGCACGAGAAGTTACCTTGTGGGTAGTTTCTTTCGTGTGGCGGCCTGAAGGCGACGTCAGGGACGATCGCCTACTTCGACTCTTGTTGACGACGACATCTGGTTTTTGACCAGTTGTATTGGAAGAGAAGCTATCTTTCATCAGTGTCTCGGACGTGGACGTCTCTGATATCTTGCCATTTGAATTTTGTCGTTTGGTCGACCTTTTGCTTCGGAGGCTCTTGCTTCGCTGCTTGTTTGTAGCCGGTGATTCCGCCACGCAGGAGGCTGACTTGTGGCCCTTTTCCAGAATTGGAATTTCTTCCTTCCCCACTGCGCCAGCCACCGAATGCGAACGGCGTACTTTGCGGCTAGCGCCGTTGTTCTTGCGAGTGTTATTGTGTCCTTTCGTGCTGCTCTTGCCAAGGCTCTTGTAGCTTTGACTGAGTCTGTCAATATCGGTCGCGGATCCGTTGCTCCTGATCTTCAAAAGGCCATCATCGACATCGACATCTTTCTCAAACAAAAACTTCCCCATTTTGGAGCCTTCCTCTTCGTGAGCGAACTCTCCCTCATCGTCGTCAAAGCTGGCAGATCCCAAAGAACCAACGCTGGAACGGAGCTGCGACGACCTTCGCCGTCCTGACGCGGGATCCTTGTGATGCCTAAAGGTCCGACTATCTTTGGTAGACGTCTCGAATTCGATCACCTGAATCGGTGCCTGCGAAGGCGAGTGCACGCCTTGATTCATGGTGCTTTTGTGTGTGGTTGTGTTTTGTCTGCTGTCACTCGCTGCGATCCCTCTCCTCTGACTATGGACTATCAATACAATACTCGGGTGGTCTCATTGGTTTTCATAGCAGCAATTGTGCCAAGGACTCTACTAGTATGTTGGAGGGATGCAGGGATCATCATACATGTAGGTACATCATACTAGTACCGGTACCGGTACCGGCAGTGTGGTCTCGTGGTTGTCATGATTGTGTCAGGGAAGGAAGGGAAGGGGGGAAGTTTAAAAGTGATTAATTAGCTGGTTTGTCAGTGGTCAAATTCCGTGTGTTAAATCTCTCGTCAATCCTTTGAGCTTCCCGGAAGTTCCAGTGTTCACGGCCGCAAAAAGTGAAAACACGGCTGCACGGCTCAGCCAGCGTTCATAAATTCACAACCACAACCACAACCACAACACAAGCACAGGTCCCGTGATCATTTTAGGAACATGGCCATGGGCACGCCCCTGGCTCGTACAGTATCAACATTGTAGGCTTCCTGCTTCTTCCTCTCTTGACAACCACTGGTGTGTTGTCATTGGCTTGATGGAGGGACAATGTCTGTGATCATTCTCGTGCTCCTTCTTTGCAGGACTTGCTTCTTGCTGCCACTGCTCTTGCATGACTTGCTTGGCCCTTCTCTTGGGCCCTGACCCTATCTAGCTAGACCTTGCCCTACATCCATCATTTTTGGACCTTTCACCAATATACCATCCGATCCTGGTGGCTGCAAGACTACCTTCCATGCTTCGGTTGCTGTCTTGAAGCTTCTTGGAATTTGTAATGGTCTTGTGAAGGCTAAAACTTACATACATTTGCAATGATGTCATTGAACAAGCCACCACAAACATTGGGGGGTATGGTTATGAGTTAGCAAAGGGGGGATCTGTGGGACTGGGATTGGCCTTGGTACAAGCCATAATTTAAACGTGAATCTCCATCTATGTTTAGTGGTTGACAGGTCGCCTAAGCTGCTACTTTGCCTTCCTCGAAGAAAGGCCCCCAGCAGCACCCAGGAGTCTCCTCTCCAGCCTCAAGGATCAAGGTGGTGAGCTGGGTAAGTTGAAATTCTAGCACACCCAACAGCACAGAGTTTCATCTTCATCGAACTCATTGGCGTTGCTATTGTTCTTCCTCAACGAGAAGGTAACACGTAGCTTCTTATCACCCTCACTCTGCCCTGGCCGCTTCAAAGCACTCGGCTTTTCATTGTTCAGAACGCAAAGACCAGTTTCGCCGTCGTCTGATTCCTCACTGTTGCGACGTAGCAGTATCACGGCTACGACTTCCACTTCATCCGCATCGGCAACAACAATCTTGTTCTTCAATTGACATGATCGGTTCTCCCTGAGAAGTTCCCAGTTGCTGGCGGGGAAAATGTCTCCCGCTGGAATAGTTCGCCTCCCCTTGACGGATTCATCACATGTGGCACCGCAATCATATTCCGATTCTGTGTCCGTTGTCCCGTCCAAAACACTTGATGAACGGACTGAAGAACCTTCTTCCTGCATCGAATCACAAGGGGATACCAGCTCTGAAGCCGCGCTGTCTCCATCTGATGTGAATTCCTTGAGCTCCACCTTTTCCAGCTTGTTGGCAACCTTTGCTGCCAGGTTCGTTCCTAGCCACGTCGTATGCAACTTCTGTATATCTACCTCTTCGGGGTCCTTGGACGTTTGAACTTGGTTCAGTCCTGAGAGTATTGTTGTTGTCGTCGTGCTGGGAGTGATGGCATCTGATGCATCATTGGTTCCAGAAGCCACGGTGTTGGCTTTTGCTTTCGAGTTCTGGCCGCTTGCCGCTGAATTTGGGATACTTGCAGTCTGATTATTACTGGCGTTGTCCACGGTTGACGCGTTGGTTGCTGCCGTTGACACAGAACTCTCCACTGTCACACCTGTTTTTGATGATGTTACAGAGGTGAAAAAACTTGGCAACTGCTCTGTAGTTGGAGGATCTTTGCTGGACGTTCTCAATTCTCTCATTGATTGTGGCCTCACGGGAGATCCTTCATCGCTATGTAGCAGCTTGCTCTCATGTTTCCCTAAGGCCATCAAATTTCTCATTGACTGTGCCTTCGGCGGAGAGTTGCGATTGTTGCAAGAGACTTTCGCAGCGTTGCCGAATGCCGTCAGTTTTCTCATTGATTGAGCCTTCATTGGTTTGATTTTGTCATCGTATAAAGGATTGTCTGGTTGCAGTGAAAGGATGAACGCATCAGCAACGCCGAAGCCTTTCGACTCGAGACGTTTGGATGCCTCTACTGGGTCACTTTCGAAGACGAAGTGAAAGCTCTGGGCATGGTTAGACCCCAGCTTCGCGTACCGGTAGGTTGAGAAATCGATGGTAATCAGATGCGAAAGAAACAAGCCAAAGGGCTTCAAATGTACATACCTCAGGATTGTGGTCACTGGACTCTGCTGACTTTACGGAATGTAGATCCGGGGGGGCAACACCGTCGAGACAATCATCGTCTGATAGGATCAAAAAGTACATCAGAGCTTGTTGGAACTGATTCTGCAGGAGTGGCATGTCTTCGTACAGCTTAGAACTTTCGTCTGACATCACATTTGCTGGAACCAAACGATCCAAACATCCTCTGACGTCAAGGCCAGTCTCTGCAAAGAGTTCTCGTGCGGCGCCCAAACGGGAGGCCAAGAGTAGCCTTTCCTTCATATTTCCACTTTCGCGCTCTGACAATGAATGACGCTTCGTGAGTACAATGAGAACGGTAGACTTTCACTATAGCTAGATAGACCGCCCAGCAAGCGAAACCTGATGTCGTCCTTACCTGCATCTGAATAGTCGCTCTCCGCCACGATGCCTGCGGGCACTTCGTACCTGGGAGTCCCATCCTCACCTGGCACAAGTTTTTTCAACAGAAGACCTTTCTTCTTGTGAACCGCGAAGACATAGCTGATATGCCTGTCTTCAAACGTTCTCCTGATGAGAGCCACACTACCCGATAAAGGCAAATCGTCAACATCAATTTCTTTTCCCTCCTTGCCTCCTGTGTCTCCATAGTTCCAAAACAAAGCTTCTCTTTTCTTCATTTGGTAGGTGGCAAGCTGGGCCCTCTGGTTCATGTAAAACTTCTCCATATCCACGGATAGGTTTCCTGAGTTGCGTTCGAATTTTGCTCGAAGGGAGCTAACAAGCGAGTCTCTTCGAGGAGCACCAGCAATCTGAGTCTCTTCGCTTGTTGCGAGGGTCTGGGTTTGCTGCATCGCACCGCCCTCCTCTTTCTGTCTGTCACGGGTTTCTTCTTTTTCCTCCGTGATGCCCGCCACTTCAATTTCGGATTCTTGATCCGCCTTGATGTGCTCCTGATCCACTTCACTCTCCGTTTTAGCCTGCTCCGATTCTATCAAGTTGACAAACGCTACTGTTGAGTCTTCTGGGGTGTTACCTTCAATAGATGTACCCAAACCACCCGTTTCCGATTCTGGCTCCGTGGAGTCGAGTTGGAGGCACACTTTTCTAACGGAATCACCTTCAATAACATGAACCACCGCAGAAGAGCAGATCTCGCTGCTACCCTCGGAGGAGACGGTAACTACATCTTCGATTTTCTTGATCATTGATTCCTCTTGTGCTTCTCGGTCTTCCTGCAATTCCACAGAAGGATCATCTTTTTTCTCTTCGGAGTCGTCTTGCTCAATTTTGTTCATTGTCGCCAGCAACCTCTCTCGAGAATTATTGTTTTCTTGACCATTGCTGTTGTTGCTGGTCTCGGCTCCATTGCTGTGCCGCGTTTGTAATGCTCCATTTGCATCCTCCTCTATTTCACTCGAGGGGCTGGAGGTTTCCGTCAGTGAGATATTGCAGGTGATGTTATCATTGTCTGTCGTATCGTTCAAGGTCTTGACGACCACGACTTCACCGTCATCATCATCCTGTGTTGTTTCCTGCGTTGTTTCCGATCCCGTCCTGTCTTGCACGTTGCTTTCATCAATGGGTTCTTCCCGAGGCTCCTCTTCATCTCGAATAAGTCTTGTGTTCTCGGCATCTTGCCCGTTTTGTTCTTTTGGTTCTTGTTCAGGAAGTTGTTCCATGGCTGCTTTTTTTTCTTGTTCCGCGAGTATTTTCTTCTCGTAGTCTTTGACCTCTTCAGTTGAAACTTCAGGTTCGTCAATGAGTTCAACCTCTCTTCTTCCTTTCTCTTCAAGTTTCGACACATCATCTTTGTCTCCTGTTGGGTGCACAGGTACCGTCACAGCTATTGCATCGCTTTCAATTCTTTCAACATCTGCCGCTTTGGTCGTTTTGCCATCCTCGACAGGCACGGTGGGGTCATCATCCCCTGCCGCACCGGCAAAGGACTCCATCACTTGTCCATCCATCATACTGCTCTATACTTTTGAAAGCGAGAAACTATCTAACTCGGAGGGAATCCGGTATGGTTCCTTCCTTTCTCAACTAATTAATTGGGATCGTGCTGGACTTTCATCTCATCATTCATCTAAAAAGAAGAGCCGGTGGGAGTGTGTGGATCGACTGTCCTTTTCGTTTGGTGATTAGAGAAAAGGAAGGTTATCAATCCTCATGGCTGAAGACAAAGAAAAAATCTCAACTGCTGCGAGTCCGTTCCGATGCTGCCAACGCTAGCGTTAACTCCCACACAGCGAGCGATCCCACTAATTGAAAAAGTGAGACGGCTCGAGGATTTGTCGAAGGAGTTGCTTTTGCAAGGAATTGCAGGATTGGGGACTGGCCAGTCCCGTAATGAGGCCCAACGCCGCCCAACAGTTCGACGTTTGGCCAATTGGCCCAGCGCTTCCCATGCAATACTAGTAGACACGTACGACTGTAGGTGCAGCCCCCGAATGAGTTTTCAGGGTAGTTTTGTCTGAGAAGGTACTGGTACGCACTAGCTAGCGAACCGGTAGTAGTAATACCCAAGTCCAAGGGTAGGGCCGTTTGTTGTCCTTCTTGAGGCTGTTTCAGTACCTACCGTACTGGCTGGTAGAGCAGGTCCAGCCAGAAGAGCCCAAGCCCCAAGCCCCGTAGGTTGGCTTGATGCTGTTGCTTGTATTCTGGAGTCGGGAGGTGCCGTAAGTCAAGCTTAGCAAAGGATGGAGTGAGTGGTACCATTGCAGGAACAATCCCACGGGGGATACTGTGTTCCTTGGTTTTAAGAAATGAAATAACATGAGAATAGCACGAAAACAACAACAAAACCACCATCAACCCAATGCTTCCAGCTTGCTTGGCCAAATAGACACACAATAACTCTGTTTTGGGTATTACATGTAATAGACTATCTTGTACAGTGCACTCTACTGCATCTTATCCTGCGAAAAGAAACATAAAAGGGGCTAATGCGTGCTAGTGCTTTATCGCCAAAGTTAACAGCCCTGTCGTGGTTCGACGAGTTTTGAGATACCATCTTCAGCTAACGATTGTGGAGGCCCATTAACATGTTTTGTGTTTCTTTCCGGTCATACAGATAGAGCTCCTCCTCCTCCACAAGGCATATTATAACACTCTATGCAAACTCTCTACATGGGTGGAGAACGAATTGGTTGAAGACACCAGCCCGAAATTGAGGTTTTGTTGTTGTTGTGGTGCTATTCTCGTGTTGTTTTCGAAGCATGACTGAAACTGATCCTTACCCCGTGGGAATATCTCAGCATCAGCTGTGGCTTCGTTGCCAGGTGCTTTCAAGGAACCCAGTGAGAATGTCTTCTCACTGGACATGCATCTCGCCACTGGCCAGGACGGCCAGGACCGTACCAGTACCGGTACCGGTACTAGTATGACCCCACTCCACCGCACAACTCTCACTAACCCATAGTAACTTTCCCCGTCCAACAACTGCAAATAATATAGTGCACTGCCACAACTTCGAAAGTGCTCAGATTCTTGCCTCCCACAAACGTTTGTACCAGGACAAGAACCACAAATTCACCATCACCATGGCTGTATCTCCTCGTCGTGTCTCCTCTGTCAGTATCGGATTGGAAAACACCTTGGAGATGACAAATATGTTGATGAATCGTGACTCTGGTCCTTTCGGCCGTTCTCGTCGACGAAGAGCAAGCCTCACGGCGTTTGTTGGAAATATGCATAGCCCCAAGCCATCTGACGACAATATGATGTCCAGTTCTTGCCATGGTACCAGTGCCAGACGATCAAGTATGGCAGTCGACACATCAAAAGCGACCTCCCGCCTTGCGACAAGTGGCAACGCTCTCGATATGGATGCCAGCCTCAGTGGCATTGGAAACAGGAAGAAGAAAGCGATCCGAAGGGCCACGTCCTTTCAACATTCAAGCGTTTCCCTCGACCATGGTGCAGCTCTCGACAACCACGCCCACCTTGCTGCATCCGATGACGATATGGATGAAAAACTTCGAGCATTATCAGTTCGAAAAAGTTCCCGTCGTTCTCCTACGAGGAAGAACTCTTCTAGCAGCACTATTGTGAAGGAGAAGGCAGAAGATGAACAACGCGGTCATGATAGTGAACATCCAAATCACTTCCACGACGACAGCTGCGCGAATGCCTCGGGTAGTTGTCCTCACGAGAGGACGTCTAGCAAGAGCAGCACAAAAAAGGACAAGAAGAGCCGCCGTGGTTCGAAGGGAACACCTGTTGCTACGAACAGTCTCACGAGAGTTCGCCGGGTAGCCTCAAACAATGATATTATGGATCAGTCCAGCGATGGGACAAACCAAGACACCACTTGTCGTCGCTCGAAGAGCGGATCTAAACTTTCGTCTTCAAGTAGGAAATCGGGAAATGAAAACAGCTCGCAAGTCAATAGGAGCTGGAGCAGCAGCAGCAAGAAAAAATCTTCAAGTGGAACCAAGGATCGCTTGATGTCTCCCAACCGATCCAGCAGTAGTGGCAGATCAGGGTTAAATTTGTCGTCATCGCGACATGGCAAGCGTTCTCCTACGGGCAGCAATGCAAAGGCCACACCCAGGCAGCAACGAAATTCTGCTGCCACCCGAGCCAAGGCAGCGGCGACGGCGCTCTTGGTGACTAGCCCTGCACTGGAAGATGATGATACCGTTCAAGGATCGACTTCTGTCGATGCTGCTATACACAGTGCACAGTCGCCGCCACCACCGCCAAGACGCCACAATCCCGCAGAAACATGGATCTGTGAGTGTGGCTACGAGCTGAGACTCTGCATGAAGTTTTGTGGAATGTGCGCTCGGTAAGTGTCGGATAAAGTGTGGCAGGCCCATCACTTTGGTACCCCCGTGATGGCAGTATGCCGCTCACATATCTATCTCATATCACATCTCTCAAAAATCGCTTCATGTTGAATCTTAGGCCTCAGAATTGGGTCTGCGGAAAGTGCCAGTTTGGGGAGAACATTCAATGTTTTCGCTTTTGTGGTGGCTGTGCTGCGCCCAGAAAATTGGAAAAGCCACATCGATCCCAATGCGGCAATAACAGCGATGCATCAAATGGCGATGTAGACGCCCCGACATCTCCCATGTCGGTCGCGGATCTGGGGGAGGATTGAAACCAATCAAATAAGAAAAAAAACTCAACATTCGCTAACGGATTCATACAAGAAGTGCTTGAGGACGACCCACGAGCCGAGGCCCAGGTGTTTCCCACATTCAAGTCTGTTCACCGGTGAAACCAATCAATAAAAGCAATCAAGAAGAATTGCAACGCTGAAAGATATGACCTCTTTCCGAGTTGCTGTCTGCTGTCTGCTGTGGCTTCGCTGCTCTCATGCCATATCAACATTCTATGCCGTTGCTGCTACGGTACCGTACCGGTACCGGTATGCCACATGGCTAGCTGTAGCTAGTAGAGAGGTCTACCGTATCTACCGGTATGATAGCTAGCTACGGTACGGTATGTTAAAAAAGTGTGGGCTAAAAATGCAGGGGTGAAACATGGATACGTACTGGTACACCGGTACCGGTACCAGGTCTGGAGTCTTGGATGTTAATTTTAAAACTTAGACGCGCTGATGCTCCTTGATCGCGACACGCGGCACAACATAAAAAACCATGCAACCTGCACCAGCCCTGCAACATACGGTATCTGGTACATGGCAACATGCACCACCGGTGCGAGAACGGCCCAGAAGATTCATCATTCATCTTTTCTTTCAAACTCTGTTTTCTTTTCCATCGAGGATGTGTTACAGTTCGGGCGTGCAACTTGGTACCGGTAGCAGAGCACATTTGCTTTGGCGGACGCTACCGTGGAAGGAAAAGCACCTCCGGCTCCTCGTCAGCCTCAATCACCGGTCCACCAGTGTGGATGCATGCACCAAGGAACCAGTAACATACCGGTACCGGTACATGGTACTATGTCATACATCTTTTACCAGGTAGCTAGAGAAGTGGCTACGAAACAAATAGAGTGCAAAAATGGTTTTGAGGGTTTAACTCTGCATGCTAGTGCTGGGCTTGCGACAGGGTCCGGCCTTTTTCCTCTGTTGCAGCAGGCACAGAACGAGTCGAGTCAATCTGCGAGGGATCGACTTTGAGAGTAGTTTGATAGAAATGTTTGAAATCGAGTTATGCCTCTAGATCATCATCTGAAGGACCGCAGTCATCGTTTCCCGAACTGAGGTCATCATTGCTCAAACTCAAAGTAAAATCCCCACTTGATGTCTCGGTTCTTGATCCTACATACCAATCAAACAGAGAAGAAGAAAAAGTTAGGCACAGAGAGAAGAAAACTAGCCGAAGTACATGTAGCATGCCGTTCATACTTGACTGCTTCTTGAGCTTCCTAGCGTCCCGCCTTCGTTCCTGACGGTAAGAGCAATAGAAGACGGATATGGCAACGAAACAGGAGAACAAGATTAAGGCAATAAACACAGGTAATATCAATAGCATCCCATACTTCTTGGACGGTGAACTATCCGAATCGAACATCCCGCCGAACCCAACAATTTCCGTCTGGTTGTTGTGAAAGTCATAGTTGCTCGCGCTACCATTATCAGAAGCATTCTTCGAGATGATTCCATAAAATAAGTCCTCCATAGCTTGGATGCGCTCAATTGCAAGACGGCTCTCAATTGTGAGACACTGATCAGGAGTTGATAACCAACTCGTTACATCATTGCGTCAGGCATTTTGGTGCTTTGGCGCAAAAAGTGGCCATCGTGACGTCTCGTAAAAATTGGTCATTGTACCTAGACTACTGGTCGCTCTCAAGGAGATTTATGATCAAAGCGGAACTTGCTTCACAAAAACGAGCACAAAAAACAAAAACAGCCTCGGAATCGAATAGATTCAAGAGGCGGCGGCCCGAGGCGCCACATGCATGCATCGTGAAGCAAAAGGTCAATGTCACCAGCTACGCAAACAGCCATCCATTCGTTCGTGCGACCACGGTAGCATCAAGAGCAGCGAGAAGGAAGTGATCAGTAACCACCCCGTTGCAGCTGAAGAATCAGTAACCATCTCATGGCAGTTCAGGTATAAACCTTCAGTGTTGCTAGCTGCCATAACTTCGCCGAAGTCCTTCCCAACCCAAAGACAAGAGACTGGCCTCTGATTTGTACCTGGCAACTTCAACACTTCAGAGCAAAGATACGTGGATTCTGGCCGATTCATGAGCATGCAAACAGTCACTCATCGTTTGATGGATAGCCCGGCTGCTCAAGAGCAAAGCTTGAGAATGTACACAATGTTTTACTGATCAATAACTCCTAGCTAGCTACTACAAACACAACAAGCCATGTATACACCGCCAACGACCGAGCAGCATTTTTCACTCCCTGGCTTTTATGGTTGCATGGCAGCTGCATCCATGCTTCCTTCGAGGATGCGACTAACCCTTGATCCACTGGCACGTCCCAAAGGTACAATCGGTCCTTGTGAGGGCGCGGCAGCCGCAGTGCCCCTTCCGGCCGGTACCTTCGAAGCATCCACCCCTTCAACGGCAGTATTCATAGTGCTGGTGTCGTCATCAGCATGACTCCCCCAATAACTCGTTCCCAATTCTACCAAAGCAGATCTCAGGCCAAACGTAGCAGCAGTGTTTGGGTCAGTAGCTGACGCCGCATTGCCCGACGCAGCAGCCTCGCTTGATTGCGCCTCCAATATATCAATTACGGTGGTTTGACGCAAACCTGCAGCATCGGCACCAACAGCCATGTTGGGAATGGATGGGTAGAATGTAGGGACATAGTTGTATGTTTGTCCTCCAGCAGCTTTCTGTGTTGCGGCTGACGCCTCGGTGTCATCAGGATTCTTCGATTCACCAGTAGCATCTGGTTCGACATCCTTCATTTCCTCATCGTCTTTCTCGCCATCCTTGGCAGCATTCTTTTTCTTTTTGGGTGTGGACGCCTTGGAAGCCTTTGCCGAACCGTCCTCGAGTTTGACCTTTTTCTTGGCTGGCTGCGCCCCTGTTTTATCATCCTTCTCTTTGCTGTTGTTTGACTTTTCGTCAGTAGTTTCAGTTTTCTTATCCCCGGCAGCACCAGTGGCATCTTCTGCTTTTGCGTCCTCCTTTTTTATTGCAGTGTCATCTTCTTCCAGTTTTCTCTTTGCTCCAGTTCCACCACTGGCCGCCCCGGCACCGTCTTTGCCATCGGTGGTAGCTCCAGCTGTACCCGTCCCAGCACCATTGGAGGTCGTTGCAGTCGTAGAGCCTGCCGCTCTTGCAGTTGGCGGTGGAGTCAGTCCTCCCCATGCAGTTTCCGGCAGCCTGCCCAGTATTCGTTCCATGTTCTGTCGTTCTTGATCGGCGTCCTCTGCGGATATCAAATCTTGGCCTCTTAGGATCTCCGAGGGGTTGTCTGTTGGAGGGGCCAATCTGCCGTAGAGGTTCATTAGTTGCCCCTTTTTAGTCATTCCGTGCGGATTGGCCACTCGTTTCGAGCATAAGGGAAACAGAGCGACTTCATCGGGATATGGAGCCCTCCATCCTTCCTGGCAATCCTTTTCAGCCTCTTCCTGTTGAGAGACTGCTCGGGGACCAACTTTTCCTCCAGCGCCTTGTAGCTCGGCAGCTTCTATTTCTTTTTCTTTCTGATCTTGCCAGTTCGGACCAAAACAAAATGCTGCTAAACCTTGCCAAGACCCTGGCGGATGTGCATTGTTGTGATTGTCTCGATTTCTGTCTGTGCCACTGTTTCCATTTTCTTCTTGGTACTGACCGTTGCTTTTGTGATGATTGGTGGTCAGTGCAGCAGCAGCTGTGTTGCCCGTTGCGGCATTCCCGGTGGCTCCAGCAGCTGCATCGCTACTAGTGAAATGAACCCGATTGACGGCTGGACTGGTGCAAATTTCCACTGCTCTTATCATATCCAATGCATTGCAATGCTGGGTAGTTCGACCACTGGACTCTACGTTGTGTGCCAATACGCCACCCAGCCGTTGCAGATACTCGCATAATACATCCCCCAGTGTGTCTAGAACTTCGGCTGTCATATTTGTGATTCCCAGATGCAGTGCTGCCCGTGCCACGGCCCGTTTGGCCAATTCTAGACAATATACTTGATCTCGACAGGGTATGCTTGTGGAGCTGGATGTGGTGGCATTTCCTGCAGCATCGGCAGCTCCTGATGTGGAAGAGCCTGATAAATCCATAGCTTTTGTCTGAATATATATATAGGTCGATGAAAACTAGAGTGATTTTGGATCGTGAATTGTGGATGATAATGGGGTGTTCAGTGTCTCTCTAGTCAATAAAGGGGCGCTCGAAAGATTCGTCTTGCGATTGGTCTCGTACGTATTGGCACTACCCTTGATTGATAATAACGAGGTCGGTAAGAGACTGATGGATGAGCTCCTCTTCTGGATCAACTTGATAATCCCCGAGCAATGCCTCCTGTATGGATTCCCCTATGATTGCTGCCTTCCTGATGCCTAGCTAGCTAGCTGTTTGGGGTGGACACGTTTCCAAGATATGCTGGCTGAGCTCAGGCCGAGCCGAGGGGTCAGCCACTCGAATGCCAGGTCTGAAGAGGAGCCTAACGCTTCTACTAGAGATAGTGGTAGGTATCTTCGTGATACCTTGGGTGTGATGCTAGCTACACATGAATAAGGAAGGAATGGGGGCTATGAATAGTACAGCTGTGAGATAAAGCCAAGGCAATGCAGAAGCTTTGGAGAGACAGATCGAGGACACGAGGGAGGATGGAGAAGGAGGGTTGTCGGTTGTTGGCTGGTGGGTCGATCGAGGCAAGCAAGGGTCGAGCAACGCACCCAGCCAACCAATCCATTTCGTTCCCGCAGAACTCGTGGCTCAAAGCAGCCTATCCCTACCCGTAACGGAATCCGGTTTCATTAAATTTTCCCCCTCTTGACTTGATCATAGACTCGACTCGACTCAATGACGTGAGTCAAGTGAGTCGTCAGTCGAGTCACTCGAGTCAAGTCGAATAGAAGTCTCCAGTCCATCCCCACGTGCCTTAGCTTGCATTTGATCTGTTGGGGTTGAATCTTTCCCATTGTTCAAAAGAATTATCGAGGTACGGTATGAGGCTGGCTAGCTAGAATCCCTTGGTTTGCTGGAATCAGAGAATCGAATACAATGTGGACCAGTTTTTTTTTGCTTGCGTACATCTAGCTAGAGAGAAGAAGTTTTCCTTTGTACGGTGTCATTCGAAATCGCGCACGGGCTTGTACGCCCTTACCTTGCGGCTCTCATAGTTCTCTCCACGCAGAATCGAATCGGAGAATCGATTGTCGACCAGATGCCCAGTTACTCGTCCCTCCTGAAAGTAATGGTCAACTCAATATGGACTGCTGCCAGGGTACCGTAGTACAACTCGCTCGGTCGAGCAAACTGTCTCACAGGCGAAGGATCAGCCAATCGAACTAGCTCCTGCATGGATCAGATTCGGACTATCCTTGACGAGGAATGTGGAGTATTGGATCAGGCCAGCTTGCTGAAATTTATGACAAGGCTAGCTAGTGGAATGGCTCCATCAGCCGACAGCGGCCGTGCTGGAATTTTTCACCCACCGCGATCAAAACAAGAGGACGATTGAATCATCCTGCATTCAAAGCTACAAGTACCAAATTGGCTGCTGTTTGCTTTTCTTCAGATACAATTTTCCAGTGAGGGCCAAAAAAAGTGATATAACAGCGGTGCTTATCGCTTACCCCCTACAACTTTGAACATTCCCACGGTGGATTACTGTTTAGGGAAGGCGAGTTGAGTGAGAAAATATTTGTTGGAGCTGTGTTTGTGGCAATATAGCAACACGTGGTTGGTGTTGAGCCAGTGGTTTCTGTACCACTATACCAAGTGAATTGGGCACATGCACTTGCCCCATTCTGAGCAACACAATCGTTGTAGCAACTTGTTGGATCTGTCCACCGACCCACAACACAGGCACCAAAAGCAGTTGCAGCAGGAGAACCACCTGAATATGCATACTTGCGACAACAAACTCCGGAATAATAACCTAGAGAGCAACCAGGCACCAGCCCACTCCTGGTGGGCTGTGATGTTGGCGAGGATGATGGTTGAAGTGAAGGACTTGACGTCGGACTTAAGGTAGGACCTTTGGAAGGTGTACTTGATGGCTCCAAGGAAGGACTTTTGGATGGGACACTAGATGGAGCTGAGCTAGGACTTGTTGAGGGTACTTGAGACGGAGAAGCGCTAGGATGTGTTGAGGGCACCTGTGATGGAGCCGAGCTAGGGCTTCTGGAAGGCAGCGAACTAGGGCTTATGGATGGGCTTGAAGAAGGAGTTGTGGAAGGTGTAATTGAGGGCTCCGAGCTGGGATGCGCAGAAGGGGATGTTGATGGAACCGAGCTGGGACTTTGCGATGGCAGAAACGACGGAGCTGAGCTAGGACTGATGGAAGGAAGATCTGATGGGCTTGTGCTAGGGATCATAGAAGGAACGTCAGATGGTGAAACTGAAGGCACACTCGAGGGACCTGAACTGGGACTTGCAGAGGGCTTAGACGATGGACTTGTACTAGGGATAGAAGAGGGAAGAGCAGAGGGTTGCAATGAAGGCACATTTGACGGGCCAAAGCTAGGGCTTGCTGAGGGTACATCTGACGGTGATAAAGAAGGCAATTTGGAAGGCATACTTGATGGGGGTGCTGATGGACTGTCAGATGGCACAAATGAGGGAAACCGAGAAGGGTATTCTGAGGGTGTCTTTGATGGGACTCTCGAAGGAGATTCTGAAGGATATAATGATGGGATATCTGACGGAGTACTGGATGGCAATCTTGATGGATACTCAGAAGGGGAAATGGATGCGAATGATGTCCTTGTGAGGCGTGAGTCCGGAAAGGGGGAGAAGAGAAATCAGAAGGGAAGTTCAATAGTGATGGACCAAATGAAGGCAACAGTGATGGTGATCTCGAGGTTGTCTTGGAAGGGATTGCAGAGGCCACCAAAGATGGGTTTGCAGAGGGCGAGCTGGATGGGAGTCCTGAGGGCAAGCTAGAAACAGCAGGGGGTACTGAGGACACTGCTGCAGGAGAGCCAGAAGGAATTGTTGAAGGCGCGCTAGAAACAGAAGGGGGTACCGAGGACACTGCTGCAGGAGAGCCAGAAGGAGTTCTTGAAGGCAAGCTAGAAAAAGAGGAGATCTCCTCTCT